AGACAGACAAGTTTTTAATCTGCCGAGAAATGAAGGGTTATGGGGAAAAGGCAGGCAAGTTGAGTTGATGATGATCAGATCAGCCAAGTTCTCATTCAGTGGTGAAGGAGAGTCGATAGGGCAATGGCCTACTTCTCTTCCCATGTCTTTCGGGATGCAATTGGAGGAAGCGCTCACAAAAAAGAGCTCTCTATGGGTCACTGAACATCCATGTCACTTAACAGCTCCACTGAAATCACTCATGGTGAGCCTAAAAACAGGTTGCACACAGGCAGACATGGCACTGACAGATATAAAGTCATTCTATGGCCAGGCAGGAGGTGAACAAGTAACTAGCCCAGAAACCATTCTGGGACATAGTCAACCAGCCAACTCACTTCCTTCTCTATCACAGAGGGATGCAGGCAGCGGACGCATAAATAGTAATTAGTTTCAAAGCAAACACTAGTTTAAAAAAAACTGCATCAGACACATCAAGGCAGCAACTGATTTGTTCTTTAACGTAGAAACGACATAATAACCAATGCTTCTCCTGAGGAGATGTTGAATTTAAATGAAACAGTTTTCTTAACGTAATACAAATACAGCTACGTCTCCAATGCAGCACACAGTTCAAACCTTAGGTCAGAATGACCTTCCCCTACAACAAACTGCATAGTGACTTTTCTGTTGGCAATATTACACAGCACGTAGTACTACACTGTCATTTTACCAGAACTGTGAAATAGAAGGCTCCTAATTCTAAGCAGCAGAAACTTTGCTTTTACAATTATCAACAATATGCTATATGCTCTAGCGGACAGAAATGCCTCATTATATTTGATTTCTTCCATGGTATGCAGTTTTCAGGTAAGCATCATTAGCTACCACGTAACCGGGAATCCACCTGAAGGCTACAGTGCGCATGTTATCTGAAAGCATTCTCTTCATTTTGGTTGTAACATTGGTGAAGAGACGACGTGACCATGAATTCTATCACTGATGACTTGCATGACTCAAGAACGTGGATTGCAGCTAGCAGCAGGAGAAGGTATTGGTTGGGAGAGCGATTTTGTGCTGATTAAATGTGACCACTGGATTATTGCAAAAAAGTTAAATTCATCATTGTAACACATAGCTCACACCAAATTAAATATTTATTAGTTCAATAAATTAGCAAGGCAATTCTACAGGTCAGTATAGAGGTAAATGTCCAGCGTGCTTCAGCACAGTTGAGCTTGGCCCCTTCACCTTGTCCAGAAGGACCACTTATTGTACACTGGGGCCTTTTTTTTTTTTAAGTGAATAGCTGACAATTCAACTTTCTCTCCTGATTCCATTGTTAGTAGATACTATTAATGTTTCTCTCTTTGCAGGTTTTGTTCCTTTCTTCTTTACATCTGCCTGTCATTATCCCTTCTTGGGAAAAAAACCCTTGATCTCATTGCTTTTGCAAACCATGTTCCCATTTCACTTTTTCCTCTACAGTCCTTGTACATGTTGCATATCAACAGTAATAATTCCCAGAAATTCGCGCATGAATCCTTCCAATCAGGTTTGAGTTGTGAGCACAGGGTGGATAGGCTGGATTTTCCTTGGAGCAAGTGGAGGTTGAGAGGTGACCTGATAGACGTGTACTGGATAATGAAGGGCATAGATAACGCGAATAGGAAAGCACTTTTTCCATTTGTACAGGAGTCAATAACCAGGGTACATCGTCTTCATTTCTCTTTTGTATCAAAGTTCACCTTCTTTTCTGAGGCTGCAGTGAAGGAAGGTGGTTGCGAGAGCCTGCAGTGGTGGCGGCAGCGTGGTGGATCTGGATATCCATTCCTCGCGTCCATTGTGCCTTTATCTAAGGCTTCATTGTCGGTGGGTCTAGTCCATTCCTCCTGGCAGCCATGCGGTGGTTTCAGCAGCAGCTATAGTGATGGTGGCATAGTGGTTCTGGTTCATTCCTCATGGCTATGGTGGCAATGTGGCGACAGCTTGTGATGGAAACTGTGTGTGTCTGGTCTGTCCCTCCTTCCTATGGTGGTGATGTGGTAGCCTCAGTGGTGGCAACATGCTGGGTCCAGAAAACCTTGTTTTGGCAGCCTCAGGGGCAGCTTCGGTGGTGGCATCCCAGGAGCCATAGAGGGAACAAAGGATGAACTTTGTCCTAATTTTGCTTCAATTATTTCTTTTTATAAAATCTAGAATTAAAATGTTGCCAAATTTTGGTGACTTATACACATCTCACTGTATTTTCATAAATTCAAGTGACAATAAATTACTATCCTATTCTATTTGGTGTTAGTTTTCACACATGCACTGAAGACATCTGGCTTTACCTTATTATCCCCTGATCGACTCCACGATATTGCCAAATTGTCAGGCTGATGGTCAGAAATCCAGTTCTGACTGAGCAGCAATTTACTCCAATTAAATATTGGGAAATTGAGGCTACTTCAATCTCCATTCCCTACCCATTGATTCAATCCCTCTCCCTGGCAATAGCTTTGAGGCTAAACCAAGTTGTTTGTAGCTTTGGTGTTATATTAGATTCCAACCACAGATTTGCACTAATAGCTATCTTTGCATTATTGCTCTGCTCAGTTCACCACCGGTTGAAGCTCTCATGAAGGTTAATGGGCTGAAAAATGGAAGATGGAGTTCAATCTGGATAAATGCAAGGTATTGCATTTTGGTACAAAAGGGTAGGGCTTATACAATTAATGGTAGGGCCTTGGGTAGTGTTGTAGAACAGAAGGACCAAGGGGTACAGGTACATGATTCTTTAAAGTTTGTGTCATATATAGACAGAATGGTCAAAAAGGCGTTTGGCACGCTTTCCTTCATTGCTCAGTCCTTTGAGTATAGGATTTGGGACGTTATGTTGAGGTTGTACAGGTCATTGGTGAGGCCTCTTCTGGAATATTGTGGGAAGTTCTGGTCACCCAGTTATAGGAAGGATATTATCAAGCTGGAGAGGGTTCAGAAGAGATTTACCAGGATGTTTCAGGGTATGTAACGTTTGAGTTATAAGGAAAGGCTGAACAGGCTGGGACGTTTTTTTACTGGAGAATAGAAGGCCGAGAGATGACCTGAAAGAAGTTCATAAAATAATAAAAGGTATAGATAGGGAATAAACAACTACTCTAAGATGGGGAATTTCAAGACTGGGGACACATTTTTAAGGTGAGAGGAGAGAGATTTAAAAAAGACATGAAGCAAATTTTTTTTACACACGTGTGGAATGAACTTCCTGATGGAGTCGTAGATGCAAGTACAATTACAATGTCTAAATGGCATTTGGATGGATATATGAATAGGAAAGGTTTGCAAGGATATGGGCCAGGAGCAGGCAGGTGGGACTAGTCTAGTTTGGGATTATGTTCGGCATGGACTGGCTGAACCTAAGGATCTGTTTCCATGCTGTATGACTTTATGACTCATGCATTGTTACCTCAAGATTTTATGAGTGAGGACTTGTAGCACATTGGTTAATGCCTCTACCTCTGAGCTTGAGACCCATGTGCAAGTTGTTGCCCATGGAAGGTATGTTTGTAATGTGGCCAGACAGATTATCAGCCTACAAATCGGCCCAATGTGCCTGATGTCAAGAGGTAAGAGTGGGAGAGACTCTGAAGAAAGCAGTGGCAAACCATAGCAGTATTTCAGCGATAAGCATGGGCTATACAATGGATGTCAACTAGGCTCAGTGGTTAGCGCTGCTGCCTCACCGCACCGGGGACCTGGGGTTGATTTGAACTGTTTGTGTGGAGTTTGCAAATTCTTCCTGTGTCTGCATGGGTTTCCACTGGGTGCTCCAGTTTCCTCATACTGATGTGCAGACAAGTATGTGCACTCACATATAAAGATGTGCAGGTTAGGTGGATTAGCCATGCCAAATTGTCCATAATGTCCAGGAACGTGCAGGCTATGTGGGTTAGTTATGGGAAATGCAGGGATAGGGTAGTTGGGTGGTTCTGGGTGGGTTGCTCTTCAGTCTCCTCGGTGTGGACTCAATGAGCTGAATGGCCTGCTTCCACACTGTAGAGTTTTGAAGATTCTAATAAAATCAACCTCAGAAAGAGAACAAAAGAGAAGACAGTCAGACAGACTTAATGCCTGCTGGACTCAACAATCTAATCAATGCAAAAGTGAGGGAATTCAGGACTCTGTCTTAATTCACACCAAGTCCAGTTCACCTCTCTCCCTTGGCCTCACTGAAATACACTGCCTTCCAGTGTCTTGATTTGAAAATTCTCCTAAATACCTTCATTCTCTCCATGGCCTTTGTCTCCCTTAACTCTGTGATGTCTCCAGTCCCACAGTATTCCATTAGTAGTTGCATCATCAGCTGATTGGGCCCGAGGAACTCCCTAAATCTCTCCATCTTTCCTCCTTCTAGAGGCACTTTAAAACCTACCTCTCGGACCAAGCTTTTGAACTATCATCTTACGTGGCTCAGTGTATACTTTACTTTAGAGTGATCTATGAAGTGCCTTTGGACATTTTATTACAGTAAAGGCATTTGTACAAATTTTGAAAAATTCTATTACTGTTTCTTGCTTTGGTACCAATGGTATAATTTCGTGTCTGGGTGTCATCGAGTCCACACTGACCCTCTAAAGACCGTCCCACCCCTTCACCCTATAACCCTGCATTTCCCATGATTAAACTACCTAGCCTGCACATCCCTGGACATCATGGGGCAATTTAGCACCTAACCTGCACGTCTTTGGACCGTGGGAGGAAACCAGAGCACCCGAAGGAAACCCATGCCAACATGGGGAGAATGTGCAAACTTCACTCAAACAGTTGCTCGAGGGTGGAATCGAACCCAGGTCCCTGGCACTGTGAGGCAGCAGTGCTAACCACTGAGCCACCATGCAACAAGTGACTCTGTAATGCAAGTACTGCAACTAAAATTTACACTCAATTTAAACTGGATTGTAGATTAAAAGGCAGAATCATCTGAAAACACCTGAGCAGATGTGTCAAGTCAGTGAGCAGCTTTATAAAGGTGGTCTCACCAGTATGTCCCTGCTCCCTGTGACGTGAGTTCCATCCCATCTACTGAATTGTAGCTGTCATCATCCATGATTTTAGATAACCCAAAGTCTGTGATTTTTATTTCTCCACAAGCTGTTCCGTTCACCAGTAGAATGTTACCTGTGAAAGTATAAAACCCATACAATTTAAATTAAGAATTGCTTCATGGCAGCTAATAAAACCAATTATAGAAAACCGTGTTCTTTCCATAAATTAAATCATGCAATTTTCAGCATTGACTTCAATAATGAATTGTTCCATACAGTGAATAATCTGCCTCAGGAACCTTTTGTAGATATTATATAACTTGTTTGCAAAAAACTGCGATAAGATAGCAGGAGATTGAGAAAGGAACACAACTGAGATGGATAAAATTATGAGAGGCATTGGTAGGGGACAGAAAGGAAGTTTCCTTCTTGATGAAGGGATCAATAACCGAGGGCCTAAATTTATGGTTAAGGGGCAGGAGGTTTAGAGGAGATGTGTGGAAAAACATGTTCACCCAGAGGGTGGTGGGAATCTGGAACTCGCTGCCTGTAAGAGTGGTAGAGGCAAAAACCCTCATAACATTTAACAGGTACTTCGGCATGCACTTGCAATGCTGAGACAGACATATTCTTGATCAGTAGGAGAATCAAGGGTTACGAGGAAATGGCAGGAAAGTGGACCTAAGGAGTGTCAAATCAGCCATCATCCTTTTGGATGGTGAAGGAGGCTTGAGGGGCCAAATGGCCTACTCTATTCCTATTCCTATTCCTATTTCTTATCGTCATAAGGCCAATGCTGGAAAATGAGTTTAGATTGGTTATGTAGCTGTTTGACTGGTGTGGGCATGATGGGCTGAAGTGTCTTTCTCTGTGCTGTAGATCTCTATGACTTTAATTAGACTTAGAAGCAGATTTGGCCCATTCAGTCAGCTCTTCCACTCATTGAGATTATGCCTGATTTGAAAACCCTCAACTTCACTTTCCTGACTTTCCTCCATTATCCTCGATTCCCTTATTGATTAAAAATTTACCTATTACTGTCTGAAATATACTTAATGTACCATCCTCAACAGCTCTCTCTGGGAAACATTTCCATAGATTTATTATCCTCAGAGGACAAGTTCCTCATCTCTGTCCTAACTGGGTGACCCATGATTCTCAAGGTTATGCTCTCTGGTTCTACACTCTCCCACGGGGGAAACCTACTGCTTTGCATTTACTCTGTCAAGCGCCTTAAGAACCTTAAGTCTCAGTAAAGTCACTTCAATGAATACAGGCTCAACCTACTCAATCTCTCCTCTTAAAACAATCCCTCCATACCTGGTATTGGCCTAGCAAACTTTCTCCAGACTGCCTCCAATGCCAAGTACATCTTTCCATTGATTAGGGGCCCAAAACTGTTCACAGTATTTTAGCTGTGATCTCACTAGTGGTCTGTACAGCATTAGTAAGACGTCCCTATTTTTATATTCCATTTTCTTTGAAATAAGAGCCGTAGTGCTGAACTTAGAGTCATAAAGATGTACAGCACAGAAACAGACCTTTCAGTCCACTTGTCCATGCTGAACAGATATCCTAAATAAATCTAGTCCCATTTGTCAGCATTTGGCCCATATTCCTCTAAACCCTTCCTATTTATATACACATCCCGATGCCTTCTAAATGTTGTAATTGTACTAGTCTGCACCACTTCCTTTGGCAGCTCACTCCATACAAGCACCACCCTCTGCATGAAAAACTTGTCCCCTTAAGTCCCTTTTAAATCTTTCCCCTCTCACCTTAAACCTATGGCCTTTAGTTTTGGATTTCCCTACCCTGGGGAAAAGACCTTGGTTATTCATTCTACCTATGCTCCTCATGAATTTATAGGTCACCCCACACCCTACAATGCTCCAGGGGAAATAGCCCCAGCCTATTCAGCCTCTCCCTATAGCTCAAACCCTCCAACCCTGGCAACATCCTTGTAAATCTTTCTTGAACCTTTTCAAGTTTCACAACATCCTTCCTGTAGTATGGAGACCAGAATTGAATGCAACATTCCAAAAGCAGCCTAACCAATGTCCTGTACAGCCTCAACATGACCTCCCAACTCCTATACTCAATGCACTGACCAATAAAGGCAAGCATACCAAATGCCTTCTTCACTATCCTGTCTATCTGCGACTCTACTTTCAAGAAACTATGAACCTGCACTACAAGGTCTTTTTTTTTTCATCTACACTCCCCAGGACCTTACCATTAAGTGTATAAGTCCTGCCCTGATTTGCCTTTCCAAAATGCAGCACCTCACATTTATCTAAATTAAACGCCATCTGCCACTGTTTGGCCCACCTGCCCATCTGATCAAAGTCCCGTTGTACTCTGAGGTAATCTTCTTCACAGTCCACTACATCTCCAATTTTGGTGTCATTGGCAAACTTAACAACCATACCTCCCATGTTCACATCCAAATCATTTAGATAAATGACGAAAACCAGTGGACCCAGCACTGATCCTTGTGGCACACCACTGGTCACAGGCCTCCAGTCAGAAAAGCAACCATCCACCACCACCCTCTGGCTCCTATCTTTGAGCCAGTTCTGTATCCCTGTAATCCATGTGATCTAACCTTGCTAACCAGTCTACCATGAAGAACCTGGTTGAACACCTTACTGAAGTTCATATAGATTATCTCCACCGTTCTAACTTCATCGATCCACTTCGTTACTTCCTCAAAAAACTGAATTAAGTTAGTGAGACACAATTTCCCTCATCAGTCCTTGCCCTTCCAAATACATGTAAATCCTGTCCCTCAGGATCCCCACCAACAACTTGCCCCACCACCGATATCAGGCTTACCATCTATAGTTCCCTGACTTTTCTTTACCATTGCACAACATTAGCCAACCTCCAGTCTTCCGGCACCTCACCAGTGTCTTTTGATGATACAATATCACAACAAGGCGCCAGCAATCACTTCCCTAGCTTTCCACTAGGGTACAACTGATCGCACCTTTATGTGTTTTAAGACATCCAGCACCTCCTCCTCTGTAATATGGGCATTTTTCAAGATGTTGCTATTTATTTCTCCATGTTATATATCCTCCATATACTTCTCCACAGTGAACACTGATGCAAAATACTCATTTAGTATCTTCCCCCATCTCCTGCGGTTCCACATATATGCGGCCTTGCTGATCTTCAAGGGGCCCTATTCTCTACATAGTTACCCTTTTGTCCTTAATGAATTTGTAGAATCTCTTTGGATTCTCCTTAGCCCTATTGCCAAAGCAATCACATGTCCCCTTTTTGCCCTCCTGACTTCCCTCTTAAATATACTCCTACTGCCTTTATATTCTTCTAGGGATTCACTCAATCCCTGTTCTCTACACCTGACATACAGTAACATACTATCTCTGGACTCTCATTATCTAATTTTTCAAGGCTTCCCACTTCCCAGCCATTCCTTTATCTGCAACTATCTGACCCAATCAACTTTTGAAAGTTCTTGCCTAATACCATTAAAATTGATCTTCCTCCAATTTAGATCTTTAACTCTTAGATCCTTTTCCATTGCTATTTTGAAACTAATAGAATTATGATCACTGGCCCCAAAGAGCTCCCCCAGTGACACCTCAGTCACCTGCCTGCCTTAAATCCCAAGGGCAGGTCACATTTTACTCCTCCTCTCTAGCAGGTACATCCACATACTGAGTCAGAAAATTTTCTTGTACACATTTAACAAATTCCTATCCATCCAAGCCCTTAACACTATGGCAGTCCCAGGTCTATGTTTGGAAAATTAAAATCCCCTACCATTACCAGCCTATTATTCTTACAGATAAGTGAGGTCTCCTTACAAATTTATTTCTCAATTTCCTACTGACTATTGGGGGAATCTATAGTACAATCCCAATAAGGTGATCATCCCTTTCTTATTTCTCAGTTCTACCCAAGTTACTTCGTTGGACGTACTGCCAAGAATATCCTCCCTAAGTACAGCTGTAATGTTATCCCTAATCAATAACGTCATTCACCCTCCTCTCTTGTCCCCCTTTCTATCCTTCCTAAAGCATCTATACGCTGGAACATTAAGCTGCCAGTCCTGTCCATCCCCGAGCCATGTTTCTGTAATCGCTATGATATCCCAGGCCCATGTTCCCAGCCATGCCCTGAGTTCATCTCCCTTACCTGTCAGGCCTCCTGCATCGAAATAAATACAGTTTAATTCATTAGTCCTGCCTCGTTCTCTGCTTTGTTCCTGCCTGCCCTAACTGTTTGACTTGTTCCTTTTCCTAACTGCATCTAACTCAGGCTGATCTCTTTTCTCACTATCTCCCTGGGTCCCACATGCACCCCCGCACTAGTTTAAATCCTCCTGAGCAGCTCTAGCAAACTTCCCCGCCAGTATATTAGTCCCCTTCCAAATTAATGTGTATGTTAGTCCCCTTCCAATTTAACGTGTATGCTAGCCTTTTCTGATTTATTCATGAGGACTTCCAAATCCCGCTGTGTTATGGTTTTCTGCAGTCTTTCTCTCATTTAAATAACATTCAGCTCCTCTATTCTTTTTGCCAAAGTGCAAAACCTCAATTTCCACAGTATATTACAACAGCCAAATTTTACCCATTCAACTAACCCACCATCTCCCAATGAAGATCTTTTCTGTTATCCCCAGCACTTGCCTTCCAATCTATTTGTGTGTCATCTGCAAAACAGTACATTCACTTCTCTCTCCAAGTTATTAATATATATTGTAAATAATTGTGGTCCCAGAACTGACCCACACCACTGGTTGCAGGTTGCCATCTTGAAAATGGCTGCCTTATTTTACTCTGTCTTCTATTATTTAGCCAATCTTCTATCCATGCTGATATACTACTGTCAACACTATGGCCTCTTATTCAGTAGCCTTAGATACGGTACCCTACTGAATGCTTTTTATCCTTTAAAGGTATTTTGACCAAACACAACTAAATATTCCCAGATAACATGGTGTAGAGCTGGATGAACACAGCAGGCCAAGCAGCATCAGAGGAGCAGGAAAGCTGACGTTTCAGGTCGAGACCCTTCTTCAGAAAAAAGAAAATATTCCCAGTTTCCTTTGATGATTATTAGAAGAATAGACCTTCAGCAGAAATACCTACCTGGCTTAAGGTCATAGTGAATGATAGGGGGCTTGATCTCATTCAGATATTTCAGAGCATTGACCACTTGCATGATGATGGAGCGCCCTTCCTTTTCCGACATCAGCTTGTGCTGCTTCAGGTAGAAATCCAGATCATTGCCTTCACAATATTCTAACACAGTACAAAACCTGAGAAACAAGATCAGTACATTTTTTTTTAGCGTCCATCCATCCACAACCAAGAGTATTTTTCCATAAGCAACATCATTTTCATTTGGAATCAACTCAGTTTCAGTTAAGAGCGATGACAGAATACACTGATGGGCATGGGTTGCAACTATGGAATTTCCTATATTCTTGTATTTTTCAGTTTTCATATACAAACACATCTCATTCCTTTCTCTGTTAGGATTTATTACATGACAAATCCACAGGCATTGCTCCATTGTAGAACCAATAAAACCCATCAAGATTCTGGATAATGTGCAACTCAAATATTGATCCAAAACAAAATAATGCTAAGCAACTTTTTCTCTCCTTCCTGCTTTGTGAACTTCAGTATCTCTTCCAAGGGTGGATAGATTTTAAAACCAAATCAGGATTAAGAAACAGTGACACTGAAGGCTGGAAATTCTGCTGATACAGCTATTGGCGAGTTGTTTTGAATAAACTCTGCTCCACAGATAATGTGTGCTATCAAACAGAAAAAAAGTTCAATAAAAAATATAGTTTTGCACTCAGCTTGCAAATAATCTGTTGGTTTCAAAACTCTCATGCTGAGGCTACAGTATTTGATAATGAAATCACTGTTTCTCACATGCAACTGAATGTGCACTTTTTGCCAATCCCTTCAACCAAGGGACTTTCAGCCATAGATAGCTCAGATTACTGCAGATAGAAATATGGCAATTTGGACTTCAACAACTGACAACTAATCTGGATGATACAGATTTAACGGCTGTTTAAATAATCATGTCAGCACAATATTTTCCATGCGCCATATCTAGGCTTACAATATTTGACGTTATGTAACACTGAAAAATAATGTATTTAATGGAGTATTCAATAGCAGCGCGCAATTATAACAAATGACAAAATTGAGTGCAATCCTTACTTTTGATGTATGAATTCCTTTACACTACTGAACAAGATCTGTAACAAAAAAGCTTATTTTTCTTAGATTTCCTAAAAGGAATGTTCCTTTATTAGCAGGTTTAGAAAGCCAAGAAGTTGATTGATAGAATGATAACATCAAGTTTAGACTTGGTTAAGAGGACTTTACCCAAGTGTGCAACAAGAAAAACTTGCTTCATCCAGACGACAGCTAGAACTCCAGTTACTATCACAGCGCATGATTGATTAAAACAGCGCATGATTGAATATAAGTACCAAGACCCAAAAGGGTGTTGCCTGAGAAGGTGCAGTTTTGTCCAAAACCTTCATAAATCGGAGAGCAGTATGCCCACTTTACACTTCTTTGATGATGTCTGTTTTTCTAAAGGCACACTTCAGGAGTATCGCCCCCTCTAGCAGCTCACTAGGGTCAGATGACTGAGCAATTTCTAGGCTTTAGTGAAGTCATTCCTTCTTAATGTTTACAATGAAGTCACTCCTAAACCCTCCTTGCAAATTATATCATGTCAACCCAGTAGAGTCTAGTTAAAGGTCATGACAATTATGTAAAAGAAAACTAAATTGCAGAAATTTAAGGCAAGGCTATTACTTCAATACACAGGGAAATTCTTAGTGAATGACTGAACAAAAAATCGCAACTGTAACTCTTTAAATGCATAACAAGCATGAAACATTGTTCAGATAAGTAATTAAACCCAAGGGTGCATTAAATGACATTAACTGATGACAGGACTGAAATTCAACAAGCAATCTTGGGAAGGTTATGCTAGTATGGCAAAAATGCACTATTGCTTAAAGGGAAAAAAAACACTTACGAGTCCGTATCTAATGAGAAATAGTCATACAATCTGACTATCCTGGGATGATCCAACTCCTTGTGAATTCTATACTCTCTGCAGGCATGCCTGTAAACAAACCATCAACATCATCAGGCAATATACATAAAGTCTACATCATTGTTTACAAAAATTGTCACCAAAACAAAGTACATGGTAAATTAACCTTTACAGGTACAGACATAACAAATCTTGCATTGGAAACCAGGGAGAAAAAGTTCATAAGTTCATTCATCCTTTAAAACATTAGATTTGACTGTACAAACTCAAAATGCAGCAATTAAATAGACACAAAGAAACCTAGATTCAGTAATGGAGGAACGATAAATCAAATTGTACAGCTTAACACTCCTTGCATTCATCTAGTATAATGACAGATGATCCTGACATGTTTAGAACACTAATGGTATACACCTTTCTAAAAGAAAACCCACAATATACATTTCTTATCATGCAAACAAGTGCACAAATATCCAGTAGGGTTGGTGAACATTGCCTCATTAATGAGATAAACCGAGTGAAGAATGGACTAACATATATTGGGTCAGTATTTTCTCATCCCTGATACCCTGCTGCACTAAGTATCACTATTAGAACTTGATAAATAGGAATAGAGGCCCATTTGCTCCAGCAGTAAATGAGATCCTGGCTAATCTTCACCATTAGCTATCCAGACCCACCCTCACCACATGCATATCCCTCAAGTGTCTAAGTAACCAAATGTTTGTTACTCTTGGAACTGAATGTACTCAAAACTGAACATACATATTTCTTTGCCATAGAGAATTCTAAAGCTTCACAACTCTTTTGAATAAAGAAATGTCTCATCTCAGTCCTAAATGGACTATCCTATATTCTGAGTCTGTGACCTCTAGTTTTAGGTTCTCCTGAATTTCCCTCAAGAATGTTACATATTTCACTGAAATCATCTCTCTTCTTCTGAATTCCATTGATTATACGCATGTTCTAATGCATTCGGTCTCCTCAAAAGGCAATTTACTCATCATAGGGAAGGGTCACCGAACCTGAAATATTAACTCTGATTTCTCTTCACAGGTGCTGCCGGACCTGCTGAGCTTTTCCAACAACTTCTGGTTTTGGTGAGCATAATAGGAGTTTGGGCTGGTGAACCCTTGGCATGTCCTTCTAGGTAAGGAGACCCAAACTGTAGATCGCATTGGAGGTGTTGTCTTTTTAACAGCAAAAAGACTTGTACAGGAATCAATCCCTGATGACGGAAGTACAACATACCATTTGCTTTCTTAATCACTTGTGTACCCGCATGTTAATGTTTTATGGATTGTACAGAGGATCATGCTGACCTTCTACTTAAATCATAGCAAGAATCACTCTGCCTCATGTGCCACATGGAAGTACTAAAAGATGGATGCTACAATAAATGGCCCATACTTCTGGTTTGCGCTCCTTACTTTATTGAAGAGCAAGGTCAACATTTGCTACTTTCAAATCCATAAGGACAGTTCTAGAATCTAAGGAATTTTGAAATCAATCATTTCAGCATCCATCTCTTAAAATTGTAGCGTGTAGACCTGTATCTAGGGCATTTATTGGTAAAGAAATTACATTCACTATTTTGTAACTAATAATAATAATATCGTCAAGCACTCCAGTTCATTTTTTTCAAGTTCTTGACAGAGCATCAACAGCATCTGAAAATATAGTGCTCAATCTCACATCATTGTGCAAAGGTGGCCTTCACACTTGTTAGCTTTCAATCTTCTGATTTTATTATTTTTCCAGCCACACAGATGTGGGATTGACTAAAAAGGAAGTAGGAGGGTGCAACATTTTCAAACAGCCATTTCTGTTATCACCCTTCTGCATAAAACATTACTATACAGATCGTGAATCAATGAAAAGAATGACAGCAGCAAAAAACTAAATGCAAGTATCTGTGCCCAGGATCATTGTATAAACAGAAGAAGGGGAAACAAAAAAAGACTTTTTCCACAGAAGAATCTTTTATGTACCAATAAAGTTGCCTCTCATTCTTCTAAATGCCAATGAGTACAGGCGTAACTCACTCAACTTCTCCTCATAAGATAGTCTCTCTATTCCTGGTATCAGCCGAGTGAAACCTCTCTGGACTGCCTCTAATGTCAGTATGTCTTGCCTTAGATAACGGGGCCCAAAACTGTTCAGAGTATTCCAGCTGAGGTCTGACTAATAGCTTCTTCACATTTAGCAAAATCTCTCTATTTTTACACTTCGTTCCCTTTGAAATAAAAACCATCATTCCACTTGCCTTCCCTATTACCTGATAAACTTGAATCATAAACAGTTGCATGTATGTACAAAGACGCCCAAATCCCTCTGTTCTGTAGCTTTCTGCAGTCTTTCTCTATTCAAATAATACTCAGGTCCTCTTTTCTTCCTGTCAAAGTGCAGTCTTACATTTCACCTTGTTAGATTCCATCTGACATTTCTTGCCCAATTTCTTAACCTGTCTATATCCCTCTGCAGATGCTTTGCATCATCCTCACCACTTGCCTTCCCTCCTATTTTTGTGTCATCCACAAACCTGACTATAGTACGTTCACTTTCCTCAACCAAGTCATTAACGTATATATTATAGTTAATTGTGGCCCTAGCACTGACCCTTGTGGCACTCCACCAGGTACAGGGGGGTTACCATCCTGAAAATGCACCACCCCAACCCAACTCCATCTTCTATTAGTTAGCTAATCCTCTATCCAAGCCAATATACTACCTCTAACTACATGGGCTCTCATCAAATTAAATAACCTAACATGTGCTATCTTATTAAATGCCTTCTGAAAATACAAACACACTACATCCACATCTTCCCTTTCATCTATCTTGCCTGTTATCACCTCAAAGAATTCTAGTAAATTTGTCAGGCACAATTTCCCCTCATGAAGCCATGCTGACTCTGCTCACATTATGCATTTCCAAATGCCTTGCATTTACATTCTTTACGAAAGATGCTAACATTTGGCCAATAACAGATGTTAAGCTATCTGGCCTATAATTATCCATTATCTGTCCCCTTCTCTTTTTAAATAAGGGTGTTACAGTGCTAGTTTTCAAATTCTCTGGGACTTTTCCAGAATCAAAGGATTCTTTGAGGATTACTACCAGGATATTTACTATCCATGTTGCTATTTCCATTCATACCCTAGGATGCATCCCATCAGATCCAGGGGTTTGATCAGTCTTAAGCATCTCACTTTACTAAGCATTTTTTTCTCTAGTAATAGTTTTGTACTTATTTCCTCTCCTCCTTTTGCCCATTGATTATTTTGTAATTTTGGAATACTAGTGTCCTTTACGGTGACAACTGATGCAAAGTATTTATTTAGCTCATTTCCTGGTTCACCATCATTATTTCTCTAGCCTCATTCTCTAAGGGGCTTATTTTGACTTTGGTTCCTTTTTATACACTTAAAGAAGCTCTTGCCGTCTCATTTGATATTGCTTGCAAGTTTATCCTCAAATGTTTCATTATTGATTTGGCCATCTTATGTCAGTTTTTAAAACTTTCCCATTCCTTGGGTTTAACCACTAATCTTTACCACATTGTATGTTTTTTTCTTTCAGTTTGATACTATCTTTGATTTTCCTAGTTAACCATGGCTGGCTTATTCCATTCCTAGAATCCTCTTTTCTCACTGGAATAAATCTTTGTTGTGAGCTATGAGTTATTTTCTTAAACACCTGCCATTGTTCCTCAACAACCTTTGCTCAAGATTTATTAAAGTCAAAAGTCACGTGACACCAGATTATAGTCCAAAAGGTTTATTTAAAATCACAAGCTTTTGGAGCACTGCTCCTTTGACAGGTGACTTCACCTGATGAAGAAGCAGTGCTCTGAAAGATTGTGATTTTAAAATAAACCTGTTGGACTATAAGCTGATGTCGTGTGACTTCTAATTTTGTCCACCCCAGCCTAACACCAGCATCTCCACATCAAGCTTTAATAGTTAGTGCTAGATGTGCTGAAATGAACTGTCCAGGGGCAAAATGGAAAAAAAATAGCGCATGCTGCACAATTCCAATGTTTATGGGATTTTGGAATTTTACAATGAATTATTTAGTATCTTCCATAATCTCTTGATATCCCAAAGTGCTTTACAGGCAATGAATTACTTTTGAAATGCAGTCACTGTTATAAAGGTAGGAGACCATTCAACCATCACTTCTACATCAGCTCTTTAGTCCCATTTTCTTGCTCTTTCCCATGATCTTTCAATATCTTATGTTTCAAATAATTATCCATCTCCCTTTAAAAGCCAGCACAGATTCTGATTACACCTGTTTTTGGTCAAGCTTTGCACGCCCCAATTGTCTACTTGACAAGGGACTAGCCTAAAGTACACAATAAGGAAAATTCACTAATTTTGGATCACTATAGAGCATCCAAGAAAAACGAAACAGCTAAAACACTTTGGGAAACAGACTGCATTTTGGTTTAATCTAGAAATTTAAACCAGGTTGTTAGATCATTCTCAAATCAATGCGGCCTTACTGAAGTAAAAATTCTTACTAGGAACTTTCATGCTCAGCTTGCTTGATCATGAGGTCATTAAAACATCCACTTGTAACAAATTTCAACAGCATTATGAAGACCAAGACTAAAAATACATTTAGTACCTTCACATGGTCTTGGCTGCACACCTAGACTTTAGATCCTAACATGGCATTTCCTAATTGCAGTCAGACACAGCATGTAATGTAGTTTGAGTTAATATTGTACAATTATCATAATTAGCAAACGGTCAATTATTTACATCCAATAAGACAAACAGACATGTACTGCAATTTGGGCAAACAAGCATCAACATGATAAACCTCAGATTTGAGCATTAAAAGATTTTGTAGCTGCACATCAGACTACTCAACATTTGAGAATGAGGCTCCTTTGTCGAAATGGGGACCTAATTGATTCATTAATGCATATTTTTCTTTCAGTAGCTAACTGACAGGCTTTGTGTTTTTAGTTTTGAAGTTATTTTCAATAATTTTCAATAATAAGTAGTATTATTTAGGAAGTATTTAGACAAACACTTGTGATGTCAAAACATACAAGGCCATGGCCAAGTGCTGGAAAATGGGATTAGAATAATTAGGTGCTGACTGGCACAGATTTGATGGGCTGATGGGCCTACAAGACTGAATTTAAAAAAAAATCTATCTAGTTCCAGTATTCATACAGCAAATTGCTCAATTTGGGTAACTCTGGTTTATAAAGACCTGACTGCCAAACACTAGGACTTACTGTCACTCATCCTCAATGCAAAGATAAACATTTGTACAAATTTAAGTTGCAAAAACAGTATATGAAGTCTTTTTTTGCCTTCCAGGCAGAGCTCTAGTGCATTCTTGCAGTGTTTAAAGTGCCTCCGACTTCAGCTCCAAGTCAGAGATTTTTATAGTGGTAAATTATTGTGAAAGCAGAAAAAGATAACAAACCTACATAAATAAATATAAAAACGCCTTAGAAAACCCATGGTGCAGAACATATTGCTTAAGCAACAAAGGAAACACACTTGAATTAATCCATCCTTTAGAACTTTCCAGCTCATAAAATAAAGCAGTTTTGAATTTAATAGTCTGAGCCCAGGGGAATATAGCTGTAGTGCAGAAAAATGAAAGGGTGCAACACATAAATCACAATTGAACAGATGAAGGCCAAGACTATGATTGAATTTCTTATGATGTATTCCATATGCTGCAGTATAGTTACAAGCCACCAGTTGATTACTAATTCAGCTTCTGTCTCATCTTATATATTCACATATATTGCATTATGTATATATAAACATACATAGAATTGACAGGCTAAATTTCTTTCTAGTCGGTATAGTATAACTTAACAATTGTTTATAAGTAAATACCGCTTTGGTATGTGCAAGGAACAAAAACGAAATACTTTTCAGAACAGAGGAAAGTGATTATATCAAAAAGTAATTTTAGCTATAGATGACTCAGTGCTGTAACTGGTGGCAATACACTTAGGGAAATTCTGCAATAGTAATAAACCAAACTTCTTTTTTGAAGTAGTCATACAATTAATTCAAATGCTTTATTTAAAAAATCAATTTAATTGTCATCTGGAGTCAAATAAGAGTTGATTATGCAGTGAGTCTACTGTATTAATTGGGTAGCAAGGTGAGAGGACTCCTGTCAAAACTGTCGGATCTCTAATTTTTAGTGGGACATTGAGTTCTGTAATTCTTTTCCCTATTCGTCTGTGGTTTAGAGATGGCACTGTCAATTCAGAGGTCAAATCATGTAGGCTCAGGTCTCACCCCAGAAACTTGAGCATATTAATCAAGATGATATTCCAACACAATAATGAGGGACTGTTGTTCTGTTCTTTCAGATGTGCCATTTAACTGAGGCCCAGACTGCATACTCAAGTAGATGCAAAAGAGCCATGATCTTCAAAAAAAGTCACATATACAGTTCGGAGAGAGAGTCATACTGGACTCAAAATATAATCTCTGTTTCTCACTCTACACATGCTACCAAATCTGCTGAGTTTCTCTAGCACTTTCTGTCCTTATTTCAGATATCCAGCATATGCAGTAGCTTGCTTTTATCACAAGTATGATTAGTACATTACAATATTCCTGTGTATGGGACTCTTACGAGTGCAAATTTATTGCTGTGTTTAGAAAAGTGACTCACTTCGAAAAAGTACTTCAATGGCTGTAAAATGCTTTGACACATCCAGATGTTGTGAACAGTGCTAATAAAGTTGCCCAGCATGGCATTTTCAATATCAAAGCAGGGGCAGACCAAAATCCCTGACAGAAGGGTCACTTGACCTGAAATGTTAACTCTGGGTTCTCTCCATAGATGCTGCCAGACCTGCTGAGCTTTTCCAGCAATTTCTATTCTTGTTTAAAATCCCTGAGAGCATCATCAAGCAAGGTTGTCCAAGAAGCTCTGATATCATGACCCTTGGCAAAATGTTAGGGGGAAAACACTGCTGCAAATATTTGCTCAAGTACAGAGGCAAGAAGAACTCAGATGCACAATTGGGCAAAACTCTTTATTACTTACTTGTGGTAATTTTCTTTCTTTTCCTCCCGCCAGGTTTTATTTAACTGGTGAATTTTTACTGCTACGTATCTCTGCTCTTGTAGATCGAATGCCTATTGAAAAGATTCAAACATAGAGTAATTTGTTTTTAAAATTGGGTCAATCTTCTGAACAAATATTATCACCAATAACCAGCAACAAGTATTTTTACGCTACAGAAGATCCAATTCCAAATTTTCACTATGACCAAAACATGTTCCTGTGTAGTGACTGCTTTGTACAAGCTTCTCGGTGAACGTGGAACAGAAATTTGAGTCAGTTGAATCATTACAAACTCTCAGAATACAAATTCCAACAAATTCCCTTTACTGCATTCAATAGTTCTTTATACATGTCAGTGTCTTGGCTTCAAATGTCCTTCCTGGGAATCTGTTCAATCTGTTATCACTCTGTGTAAAGATATATATCCTGGCACCCATCTTAAACACACTACATACAAACCTGACCTTATGTTTCTTCCTTTCCATTGTCCCAGTACATCTGGTAGTGTCTTCAATTTCCCTATATCTCAGAAATTTCTGCAAGGGCCCCTTGCAAACAGCCCAGTCCTTGGCATGACCTCAAACATACAGACAGTACAGTTCAGGAAATAGAGTGTATGCAGATGCACTTGTGGGAGTGGAGGTGTCTTGACATATTCTATAGGGAGCTCTGATGTAGCACAAACGGTTGCCACATGTAACTGGATACGTTCCATATGGACAAAGTATGCAACTGATTTCTCATTCTCATTGTTTGCTGCTGCTCTTTGAAAATCATGAAAATAAAATGACTTGAAACTATAGCAAAGATTAACTTTTTTTCTGCCATAGACTGATTATTAAAATAACATTTCAAAAATATAACTGTAAGCATGATAATGTATATTTTTACGCCATCGGCTACCATTTAGCCTTTTGGTGACCACACAGTGGTACATTTTTCAGTTCCCCCGATACATCTCTCAACAGGCTGGTTCACATGTACATTCCCAATTCACCATTGGGAAAATTGGTTCAATAACATTTCTTAGCATTAACCCACCTTATCATTTCTTCCCACAGTATATGACCACACTATGATAAGCTCTCAGACTCCACACGATTGGTAAAAATATTCACCTCAATTTGATTTCTATAATTTAGTTTATTAGGGAGAGGAAATCGAGTAGCAATTGTCACCAGCAATCCAGAGACCCAGGCTGATGTTCTGGGGTCACGAGTTTGCATACCATCATAGAAGATGGTGAAATTTGAATTGATGAAAATCTGGAATTTAAAATGTTGGACTAATGGTGACCATGTATCTGCTGTTGTATTTTGTAAAAACACATCTAGTTCACTAATGTCCTTCAGGGAAGGAAATCTGCCTTTGTTACCTGGTCTGGTCCTCACGTGACTCCAGACTCATGTCTGCCTCTGAACAGCCCTCTGAATCTAACGAGCAATTAGTCGCTGACCAGCCAGTGATGCCCACATCCCATGAACTAATTTAAAGAAAAGCTCTTTGCACTTGAAAGCAAACATCACAATTAGAAGAATGGGCAATTCAGCCTGTTTCTGTTGTAAATCTTGCTCCTATTCTTCTCATAAATCCTTCCCTAAAGATACCATGTAAAGATTGAATTATCTGGATTGCAATAATTACTAGCATACCACTATGCCAGGCATGCTTTGCCCAAATCCAATTATGGTGAAATGGTAAAACCAGGAAATGCAACGTTATAGATAATTTATCAGGATTCCAATCCAGGTCAGATGAAGATATGGAAATCACCTCTCTGTGGTTTGGAAGGGTTGTACAGTTTCTAATCTCAATATATTCTGCACTGGAGATGAACCTAACCAGAAACTGTCTCTCTCGTGACACATTCACTTAAGAATACAGCATACGTCATGTAGTGCCTCTATTGGAAAGGGTTTCATTCTCTACTGACAACCCAAGACTGATGGGGAGAAGTTTAGAAGATTTGAAAGAAACGTATCAGAGGAGATTGCACATTTTTTCATTCCCTTCTGTTGTTTGTTGGAAGAACATACCTTGTACACTTCACTGAAGCCTCCTCGTCCCAACAGGTGTAGTAGCAAATACCTGTCATTTAATGTAGGATGGTCTTTAAATCTGCAACAAGATGTTTATAGAGCCAGATGAATCAACAGAATAACCACCATTTGTACCACAAAGTTTGTATAACTGTTTCAAAAGAAGTTTACATTACATTAGTGTTCTAACACACAGCCACACTCTCGGTATGCAGCAACGAGGAAAGGTTAGTACAGTACTGCACTCTATGAGCCTTCAAACATTTAATTCCCTATCCCAGCGAATACTGCAAAGGGTACTGAATGAAGGCTAAATAATTCCCCAGAGGAAAAACAAAAATCTGTCAGTGACTTTGGATGACATTGCTACATGGTAAAACTGCAGAAAACTGAAAACCCAATAGCTTGCCTGACATCTCAGAAAGGTGTGGGACACAAGGCCCAAAAAATTAACACAAGATGGCTTACTCACATTAAAAACAATATCCATAAACCAGCCAATACAAATCACTACCTGGCAGGCACATTTAAGCAATGCAAGTACACCACCTACAGGATTGCATGAGCACTGGCTCTATATCTAAAGAATTAGAATTACAAGGGGATAGAAATCACAGTTCAGCTGCAAAAAATCCTGGGTTAGATCACACCTGGAGTTCTGAAAGTAGTTCTGGGCATCACACTGCAGGAAGGATATAATGGTTTTGTGAAGAATGTAGCAGAAATTTAATAGAATAACTGCAAGGGTTAAATCCTGTGGGGGTGGGAGGGGAGGGGATTACACAAAATAGAAATGTGCTCTAGAATGTAGAAGGTTAAAGGGTTATTCAACTGAAAATCCCAAGAGATAGGGCAGATACAGAAATCACTGACAATGGAGGTTACCGTAAAAGTTAGAGCCAGACTATCTAGGAGTGAAATTAGGAACCTCTACACAGATACAGGACAGTAGAAGTTAAGAAGTCTCTTCCACAAACTGCAGTTGATAGTGGATCAATTGTTCATTTTCAAGCTAAATTAATATTCTGGTTGACAAAATATAAAATCTATCAAATGGATATGGGACAAAAGGCAAGTATCTGGAATTGGGCTATAAATCAGTCATCTCAGCTAATGATCGAAGAGGCTCATTGGGCTAAATTGCCGCCTCGTGTTCCTGTTGAGCTCCAGTTCTATAGATTTTAGCTGTCACTATGTTATAGCTGACCACATTACATAACCTTACTTCTAACATTATCACCTAGAAGCATAGTAGTAATACAGTACTTTCAAACTCCATTCCAAATCATACACTGATTCCCACATGGTCATAAGCAATCTTTGAATGGTTGCAATACAGGCCATCATTATTTGGCCTGTTATGTCCACATTGGCTTTCTGCAGCAACAAATCAGCTAGAATTACTCCCTCACCTTTTCCTCATAGACTCTTCGAATCATCCCCCTTCAGGTAATTATGCAATTCTTTCCTGATAGTTATGACTGAATCTTTCTCCACCATAAGCATTAAGATTCCAGCTCATAACAACATGCTTCATCTCGCTATTCATATTTCTGCCATTCACCTTAAATAGGTGTCCTCTGTTTCTCAATCATTTTGTTAAAGTTTGCCTCTATCTACTGTATCCAGGTATCACATGGCATTGAATACCTCCATTAAATCTTCTCTTTAAAGAAAAGATTGAGAAAACCCAATCAATCTTCAAACTACATCTCTCTCTCTCCTACATCCATATAACTGTTTTCTGACATCTTTTATGGACCCTCTCCAACATGTTCACACTCTTTCTGAACAGCAGTACCCAGAATTGGACACAATACTCTAGTTGAGGTTGAATAATTTCTTGTTTTTAAGAAAAGATTCCTCATACCTTGTTGCTTTTGTGCTCTATACCTCTATTTACAAAGTCTACAATCCTATATGTGTTCTAGACCTGCCCCGCCACATTAAATGGTTTGCGTGTTTCCACAGGCTTGTGTACATGTACAAATCCTGTTGTGCATCACTTGATCCACCTCATTCCCAAGAACTAGATCCATCAAAGCCTCATTCAGTCAAAAAGATACTAATACAGAAAATTCACCTGAACACACTTGAGAAACTCTCTCATAAAACAAAGAACTGCACATGCTGGAAATCTGAAACAAAACAGAAATTGCTGGAGGAACTCTGCAGGTTAGGCATGTATCTGTGGAGGGAAAGCAGAGTTAATGCTTCGAGTCTAGTGGTCAATGGACTAGAAACATTAACTGTTTTCTCTCCACAGATGCTGCCATACCTGCTGCGTTTATCCAACAATTTCTGTTTTTATTTGAGAAACTCTCTCCCCTATTTACCTTTTATGCCACTACTTTCCCCGTCTGTAATAAGATTATTGCACTTTTAAATTCATCGCAAATTTATTCCTCTATATCTTTTCTGCCAGTTAATGGCCTACATAATATACCTAGCAGTGTAACGGTACCTCTTTTGGTTTCTTAGGTCTAATTAAATTGATTCCGTCCATGAACCACTCTGAACACTGGGAGGTGGTGACATATGGTGATGCCACTGGACTAATAATCCAGAACCTAGCCCATGATGCCGGGGACGAGTCTGAATTTCACTGGAAGCTCAGGGTCATTTTTGCAGAAAGAATAAAAGTGTTCTGCAAGCAATCACCCAGTCTGCATTTCCTCTACCCACTGCAGAGGAAACCACATTGTGAGCAGCAAATACATTAGACCAGATTGAATGAAGTGCAGGTAAATTGTTGCTTCACATTCGGCAAAAATGGCCCCGAGCTTCCAGATACTTGCCACTTCAACGTACCACCATGTCCTCTGGCCAACATCTCTGTTTCAGACTTGTTGCAACGTTCAGCAAAGTTCAGCACAAGCTGGAAGAACAGCATCTCATCTTCCACTTGGGGACCCTGCAGCCTTCAGGACCAAATATCAAGTTAAATAATTTTAGGGCCTGAGCACCCTCTCTCATGTCCTTTCCCCAACATTCTTCACAGCAGGCCTTGTCAGAACATGGGCTGCTGCCACAAACAGCCCATTGTTAGCCACTAACAATTCCCATTAGCAGCAATTGATCCTCCCAGGCTGACCATTACCTATTCCTTTGTATGCCCAACTGGTCTCTCTCTCTGGACTCCATCTCCACCTCTCAGTTACTTCTCTACCTCCGCCCCCAGCCCCCTAACCCCACCCCCGCACCCACCATCCCATCTTCAGCATATATACCAACTTTTTCCTACCTACAATCAGTTCAGCTGGAGAGTTACTGGACCCAAAACATTAACTCTACTTCCTCGCCACAGATGCTGCTGAGCCTCCACAGAATGACAGGCCATGTAAGAACACACAAAGTATGGCAAATAAGGTTGGTGAGCAGCAGGTGCAGATTGCTATATGGGGTATGGTTATGAGACATTAACAGATACTTAGCTCAAAGGAGGGCAAGATTGCACACTAAGTATTCTGGGACGTAAAAGTGTTCAGCAAAGAGGAGGGATAGCAATATTGATTAAGCATCATGTTACATAGCTGGAGTGAGTGAATTTCTTCTTGTTCACAGTATATGGGTGCCATTGGTTAGGCCAGCATTTAACTGCCCATTGCTAATTGCCCGCAGCGTAGTTAAGAATTGATCACATGTCTGGAAGCACACGTAGGCCAAGCTAGGTATGGATGATAGTTTTCCTTCCCTAAAGGACATCAGATAGGGTTTTTCTTAAAAACAACAATTGACACTAGTTACATGGTTACCTTTAGGCCAGCTCTTATTGAATTCAAATATCAACATAAGCCACAGTGGGATTTACACTCGTGTCCCTGAATCTCTGGGAATCATGCCTCAGCAATTTCTATTTTTGTTTCAGATATCCAGCATCCAAAGTTGTTTGTTTTATTTTACCCCAATTAATATTTTAATAGTTTATGCTCTGGTGGTGTTCACATAGATTTTAAACCAGGCTTTTCACACGACAGATGACTATAAAGAGCATAATGAAAACATGAAGTAAAAATCAGTTGTGTGGTTGGCAGTGCAGAGGAAAGCTTTAGACTGTAGGAGGATGGAGATGGTCTGGTCAATAGACCAGAAGAGTAGAAAATGGAATTCAATCTAGAGGATTTATGTTGTGGGAGGTGTAACAAGGCATAGGATTACACAATAAATGGGTATGAAACCTTGTGAAGGAACAGGTGGATCTTGGGGTATATGTCCATAGATCCTTAATAGGTGACAGATTGATAAGGGAGCTAAGAAGCAAATAGCATGCAATTCTTTATTAACTGAGGTGCAGGGAGGTAATTCTAGAATTGTATAAAGCTCTAGTTAGCTGGCTGCTAGGTTATAGCTTACATTCCAGTCACCACATTGTGGGAAATATGTGACTGGACTGCATCAAGTTCAGGGAAAACTTTTAAAAATGTTGCCAGAGCTCAAATTTTAGCTATGAACAAAGGTTTGATAGGCTGTAGTGTTTTCCTTGGAACAGAAGTGGCTGAGAGGTGACTTAATTGAGGTGCATAAAATTGCTGGGGGGTCTAGACAGAACAAATAGGGAGAACATGATTACATTAACAGAAGGTCAAAATATAGACTTTAAAGCAAATGGTAGAAAAATCGATTTATATGGGAGATCCTTTCATCCAGAAGGTGATAGGAACCTGGAACTCACTATTTGAAAGGGTGACAGAGGCAGAAAGACCCACATATAAGAAAGAACTTGGATGTCTATTTGAAAAGCTGTGACCTGCAGAGCTAGCAATTAAGCCAAATAGCTCACCAGCCAGCACTGAAGAGTTGAATGACGTCCTGTTGTAAACTTTCTGCAAATTCTAGGGTTTCCATATCTTTATAAATCCTTTCTATTCCTTAATTTTCCCTTTCCGGTAGTTGAGCCTGGTTCTCAAAGCCTTGACTAGCTTGTTAAATGGTCTCTAAGAGCACTTTCATTGGTTCTAACCTCCGTTTAAGTGCAATGCACCTTCCTGAAAACTGGCCCCAATGTCCAAGGATGCTAAAGCCACTCCTTGGTTACGTTGCAACTAATAACACTGGGAGTTTCTTCACTACAATGACTCTAGAGGTTCACCACTAACTTCAGTTATGGACAACTAGATATGGCAATGAATGCTGGCTTTGCTTGGAGTGCTCATACCCCAAGAATAAATCAAATTAAACAAATGGGTATTCAGATCAGGTTTTAAATAGTGTTTTAATTTTTTTTAAATTAAAGGCTAACTTTGCTCTTAGAAGGAAATTGAAATGGATAAACTCAAATAAATAAACTTCTCTCAGTTGTACCATATATACTATGGCCTCAATATGCAGTGAGAGCAAGTTGAGTGAAAATGTGAGAAAGGTACCTCCCTTTCTTCAGAAAATAGACAGTCAGAAGTCACACGAAATGAGGTTACAGTCCAACAGATTTAAAATCACAAGCTTTTACAGTGCTGCTCCTTCATCAGGTGGCTTCTGACTTCGTCCATCTCAGTCCAACACCAGCATCACCACATCATAAAGTATATATTTGAGAGCAGTGAAAACTTACTGTGAATTATCTTCATTGTGTATCCTCTTCAGTTCCCTTATGTGCAAATTGCGTACTCGTTCCAACCTCTCTAGTTCCGCTTGTATCTCTGCCTCCTCCTACACAAGGAAGAGTTTAGTGAAGAAAGATCACAATTTAAATAAATAATGGCCCAATGCAGACAGAATAATAGAAGCAGCACCGAACACCGCAATAAAACTCAAATGATACAATAAATAGGCTTAAAAATAACTGCACTTTGAAATTGTCTAGCAATTTGAAAGTGGTTATGCCAATTGAATAATGCTGATTTCACCAACAATTTGCTGCAAAACACTCACCCAAAGTCAGTTAAGGAGGATCAATCCAATTAAAAACACCCACATAAGACATGAACAGAAGGCACTTCCGTTAGAGTACCAGTGGCAAGAAGAACTGTTCCTGCTGCAGCTTGGCAAACAGCACATTTGAAAACAAAATCAATGGCAAGGGGGAGGAAAAAAAAAGCAGCTGGGCTATCCAGTCTGCCCCACATGATAATGGCTGGTTATGCTCAAGGTGCAGCACAGCACTAAGCTATGTGGAGCAGAAAGTCCCATGCTTTTTGTACCAAGTCAACTTGAGTAGATAGCAGGAGTGATAGCTCTGTTCCAGCCGTGCTGGAAAGGTTTGCATATCTGGCAGCAGGAAGGGGAGCAAGGTCAACTGTGGTGCTTGCTACATTCACCATTCAGACTCAGCAATGGAGAGTAGCCACTTGATTGAGAGGCTGCCAATACAAAGCGAATGGTGCTCCAGTAACATGTAATAACTACTTAGTACTTTAAGGTGTCTTGGTGAGATCAGGACAAAGCATTTGAACTACACAGATTATCAAGTTTTTCTATTCCACAGAACTCTTGAACTCAGAAGATACCCATACTTTCCCAGAGATCTCTGTCCTGACTCCAAAAACAACAAAACAAAAGCGACAGAATTTTCCATACGCAAATATAAAAAATCAGAACTTTCCATTGTTGCTTAATCTGGATTTAAATTTTCTTCTTGGGAATTAGAAAGAGTCAAGAAATAGGCTGAATCTATCTTGGAAGCAGTGACCCCCTTTTGGACCCTACTTTGGAATAGAACATGATCTTTTGGCACAGGATGAAGGCTTAACAAACCTTCTTTAAATGTCCTAATCTTAGTTTGAAGATTTCTTCCTGTTCGTGGTATTCTGCTAAAGTCAAGCTGCAAAAATGAAAAACAGGTTATTAGATTTCTGCCGAGATTAATTCTGGCATCACTGATTTTAGCACATCCTTGCGAATACTGCACTGAAATGTTTCACTCGGGGTTTAAAAACCATTCAGGACTATTTACTTAGCAAACTTCAGGTTTGGTGAAATGCACTATGCCTCAAGATTCGGTCTAATTCAAAATAAACTGGTAGATGGTTCTTTATGCATACAAGTTTCCAGCTGGCATTCCATCTGAAAGTCAGCACTTCTTGACAATGCTGCACTCTCTTAGTAGATAAAAAACCCAAAGGTAGTTCCTAGAGCAGCTGTGATTGCAGACAAAGAAAAGTGGCTTGATCTCAAGTAACAAAACTATATTGAGTGGCTACTTTTTATGAAAAACTCAGTAACTCCACACAATTCCTCTTAACTACTTTTAGGAATACCATGATTCCCCACAGTGATTACAAAAGCACATCTGTATTCCTTGTTCCTTGTCATACTCAAAAAGATATGAGCAATGCTTAAAAGTAAACCTAAGAAGAAGGGTCTGGGCCCGAAAAGTCAGCTTTCCTGCTCCTGTGATGCTGCTTGGCCTGCTGTGTTCATCCAGCTCTACACCTTGTTATGTCAGATTCTCCAGCATCTGCAGTTCCTACTATCTCTAAGGGAAATACAACTTTATTGAATTAGATCAGGCTTGTTAGGTAAATTACATTTTTTGACCATCACTTGCTAGCCAGGTCATCCGCCTTTAAAATTACCATGAATTGTATGCACACATGTAGAGAGATTAAATCACCTTGCAAGCTTAATTACATCAACCTAGAAAAAAATATGATCACCCAAAAAACAAACAATGAAATTTTTCTCCAACAATAATTGAGAGTGTGGGATCCAGGGGCTTCTGATCAAATTTCAAAACTAAAAAATGCTCAATTGCTGCTGGTAGTTTCAAATGATTCGATGTAAATTCATATCACACATGATAAGAATTTATAGGATATGCATTCAGTACAATCGAGTGGAAGCCACCAGGTGCTACTGGAATGGGTAGGAAAAGAAGAGAGAGGGCAGCACCCCTTCAAAAATAGGTGGCTGATTTGACAGCAACGTGACAAGGCTATCATGTCTTTCAAGGCAGAGAAGGTGCACCAGAAAATTTATGACATGAGCAACATTTTCTATCTACATTGTTATGCATTCTTTCCAGGATTCTTCTTTATCAGCAATTTTTGATGAGGTTTTGAGGGGTTCATGCCATCTGGACAAAGTGCTTCAAAGTAAATTTGTTAAAAAAAAACTACATCTACAATGTCCCAAGGCACCTGCACCATTAACACAGGAAGCATGATCTCCAGTAAGTATTCTTCATAAGGTGGCATCTGCCAATGGGAACTTTAGTGAGCAGATTATAATGTTGCAGATACAACTCAAATATCCAGAGAAATCACTTCAAAACCAGAATTCTGCCAACAGATATTGGCAAGCATCCAAAGTGGCTCAATAGAACCTGAAAATTTTCCATGCCAATTTTCCAGGAATACAGGTAAAGATAGCTACGATCAAGCCTGTTATTAATTGTTGTCAAACTGTTCCACTGTTCAGTGGTTGTGAAGCATCATGGTATATCTGGAAGCCCAATGAAAGTTGCTCATAAAATGACTGCCATTTCTTCCTTGCACATTATTTTCAATGGAGTTACAGAGATGAGAAACCGGGCCTGTTTTAAGTGCAGTTATGACTAGTTATCCACTACTAAGGAACAGTGGTCACTGACATCCATTCCTCGTTGTCTTTTATAATATCAAATATATTTATAAGAGAACGATTTCAGGACAAAGTGCACACTCTGAAAACCATCAGGGATGTAGGACAAATTTAGCAACACTGAAAGATCATTTAAAAAAGACCAAAAGGGCCAATCAATTAACTGCATAGCTGAATAGTCACTTTAAGGTCAATTTGCTTGCAACCTGACTCACGTCTCGTTTTCTGCTCCGTTTGCTTTGTTCTTCCTCTGTTTTTGCTCATTATTTGTAGGTGGTATCTGACACATTGCTGCTGGTTTCCGTTTTGCCAACAGCTTCCTCTGTCGCTCAATCTCCTCTCGCTGGGTGTTTATCCGCTCCTGTTGTCTGTACAACAAATAAAGAATTAAAATGGTGCAGAAGCAACTTGGAGAGAATTCCATGGGCAAGGGAAATTTTGGGTGACATTTGCTTAAATGGTTCCATTATGTTAATAAGTTTTAATGGACCGATGAGGGTACATCTGCGACCAACCTGAACTGCTGAGGCCTCAGTACTTCATGCCTCCATGCATTTGTGGCAACATACACAAACATGTTAGACATCATCAAGGAGTGTCCTCTCTACAGGTCAAGTGGAAAAATAGTCAAATTCAGCAATTGCTTTGTTTTGGGATTTTCATTCACTGATTAAAATAAAATGGAACAGCGGAACAAAATAATATGTATATTTTTAAAGTGCAATACAAAGCTTTTTATTTGGTTTTGGGACATGATACTATTAGCAAGACTAGAATTTTTGTCCATACCCAATTTCCCTTGAAAAGGTGATGGTGATGAACTACCTTTGAACTACTGCAGTCCATTCTGTGTACAGACATCCACAGTATTTTTTTTGGAAGAAATATCCAGGATGTTGACCTAACAATGAAGGAATGATGACACAGTTTCAAGCCGAGATGATAGATGGTGTTGCCATCAATCTGCTGCCCTTGCTCTTCTCAGTGGTACAGGTTACAGGTTTGAGTGTTGCTGTTATAGTCATAGAGTTGTATGCACGGAAGCAGACCCTTTGGTCCATGCCAACCAGATATCCTAAATTAATCTAGTCCTATTTGCCAACATTTGGTCCATATCCCTCTAAACCCTTCCTATTTGTATACCCATCCAGATGCCTTTTAAATACTGTAATTGTACCAGCCTCCACCACTTCCTCTGGCAGCTCATTCCATACATGCACCACCCTCTGCAAGAAAAAGTTGCCCCTTAGGTCCCTTTTAAATCTTTCCTCTCTCACCTTAAACCTATGCCCTCTGGTTTTGGACTACCCTACCCTGGGGAAAAGACCTTATCTATTTACCCTATCCATGCACCCCCCATGATTATATAAACCTCTAGAAGGTCACCCTTCAGCCTCTGACGCTGCAGGAAAAATAGCCCTGGCCTATTTAGCCTCTCCCTACAGCTCAAACCCCCAACCCTGACAACACCCTTGTAAATCGTTTCTGCAGCCTTTCAAGTTTATCAACATCTTTACTATAGCAGGGAGACCAGAACTGAATGCAGTATTCCACAAGTGGCCTAAACCAATGTCCTGTATGGCCACAACATAACTGAAGGAGACTTGTTGAGCTGCTGTAGTGCATAGTGTATATAGTACCATTGTGGCTGCTGTGTACCAGTGGTAGAGGCAATGAATATTTAAAGGTGGAGGACTTATCAAACAAGCAGCTTTTACTTGGATGGGATTGAGCTCGAGTGTTATTGGAGCTGCACTCATCCAAACAAGTAGGGAGTGTTCCATCATACTGACTTGACTTGGATCAACAGGTTTTGGAGAGTAGGTTGTGAGTTACTTGACATAGAATATGTAGCCTCTGACCTGTTCTTCTCACCACAACATTTATGCAGCTGTTCCAGAACAATAATTACATCCAATATATTGAAAATGGGAAAAACCGGGTAACTTTGATCAATTTTTTCAGCTGTTGATCCAGAAAATGTGGGACTTTTTTGGCAGTAGGAGTCCAATTTCTATCTGCAGTTGATGCTACTCTATTTCTCCTTCAGATTCTTTACCTGAAAAGGTTTTATTTATTTCAGTTCTCTTCTCACCCAGTTAGCAACTTTATTTTATCAGTTTGCAAAACCATTTCCTCTACTGCGTTGCAATTTTCTGGCTTCAATGCCTCTACAAATCTCCTTCCTATATCTGCATTTCTGCATCTTGCCTTTCCTGCTAGTCTTCTGTTCACTTGGTGCTTATTTGTGGAAAGATTACACACCTTCAATGACTTCTTTACTGTACAGCTTTACTGCATACCTTTCTTTGGAAACCACTGAGCTCTCGGTGCAACATGCCGATTCGTCAAAATACAGACAAACGTGATCCAATTTCTTTCCTCACTACAGTCTTATCAGTCTAGTGGAACATCATTGGCTACAAACATTGAATTTGGGAACAAATGCCGAACAAAATATAATTCTTCAGCTTTCAGTATAGGAAATCACTGCATAGCAGATTCCACATATTCCGTGGTGCACACCTGACTTTCAGTCTATTCTAATGAAGAAAACCAAGTGGGCCCAAGAAAGGGCAGCCAACACGTCACTGAGGTGGGGAAGGTGAAAGTCACTACCATGTTGGGATGAATTGCATGGGGTATGATGTAGGAACATTAAGGTGAACACTACATATCCATTTAGAATCATATAGCAGGGAAACAGACCTGTTGGTCCAATTTGTCCGCACCAATCAGAAATCCCAATCCAGCTTTGTCCCATTTGCCAGCATTTGGCCCATATTCCTCCAAATCCTTCCTATTCATATACCCATCCAGGTGCCTTTTAAATGTTGTATTTGTACAAGTCTCCACCTCTTCCTCTGGCAGCTCATTCCATACATGCACCACCCTCTGTATGAGGAAGTTACCCCACAGGTCCTTTTATAAATCTTTACCCCTCTCACCGTAAACCTGGGCCCTATAGTTTTGGATTGCCCCACCCTAGAAAAAAGACCATGCCCATTCACCCTATTCCTACATTTCCATACATCATTGGTCATAACTCTCACTGATCAGTACTTACTTAATAAGATTCTGAAACGCGTAGCCATCTGTCCATTGCTCAGTGAACGAGGCTCCGTGCCGCACCGTAGTGAAGTGCCCAAGTCGCAGACGGTCCTGCATACTTTTGTCTCGACAGGCAAGCTTCTCCTGTTTTGACTGAATATTTAGAAAAATGCAATGGATTAAAAAAACCTACACATTAAATAGTTAACTCCTCATCCCTTGAATTGCCGTGCTCACAAAGAATGACATCCTAGGATCACAAAACTAGAAAGGCTTAAAAAAAGCAAGACCATTGTACATCCAATTATCTAAATATTCTCTCTTTCCTTTGTCTTCCAAAGTTTCCCCAAGATAGTGACATCCTATGACTGGTCAAGTGCTTCAACCGCTGAATACTGGGAGATGCAAAGAATACCCAACCAGCACTCAGCATCCAAGACCTGCCCCCTTTTTGTTCGAGTGACAATATACCCACCATCAACAGTCCACAAGCAAATAGATTGGGAAAAGTAATACTCAACATCCCATTACTTTGGCATGCCTTCAAATGCCAGCACACTGAACCTGACAAAATAACTGATTTAAGAATACAGAAAAGCATTTGCCAAGTTCTGCGTCAATGCCGTGATCCGAGTTGAACATTCAAACTGACTGACTCTTATATTGTGTTTCAACTACATGAACGAGACAACATTAAAAATGGCTCTCCAGACTGACAGCATTCACAATCATACTGATCAAAATATCTAATAAAACCGAGACATTCCAAACCAAAAAGTACATGTATTCATTGTTAGCATCACATAATAAACTAGTAACTTGCATGTTTCACATTAACTCCCTAAACAATTAAAAGAGGAATACTATGGTGTGCAATTTATTATTTCATCCCAATTATTGGCCTTTTGAGATGGCAACCAATCCAACTTAAAGGGGGAAGGCAAGAGACTGCTCCTGTATGGGCTACAGGACTGATCAAAAACCCTCAAAATCTGCAAGTACTATTTAAATTGGATGAAAAGTGCAACAAAATACTTTTTAAAAAAATTTGTTTATAGGAAGTGAACAATGCTGACTGGGCCAGCATTTATTGATCATCCCTAGTTGCCCTGGAAAATATCGGTGAGCTGCTTTCTTGAACCTCTTCATTCTATTTGCTGTAGGTTGGCCCACAATGCAGTTAGGGAGTTATAGGATTATGACCCAGCAACACTTACAGAACAGCAATACCTTTCCATTTCAGAATGGTGAGTGAATTGCAATGGTGGGGTATAGATGTTGGTGTTCCCATGTTTTTGCTGCCCCTGTCCTAGAGGGCAGTGGTGATGGGTTTGGAAGGTGCTGCCGAAAGAGCATTGCTGAATTTCTATAGTGCATCTCGTGGACTACTGCTACTGGGGTCAGTGGTGGTGGCAGTGAATGGCTCCACATCCATTACCAATCAAGCAGGCTAATTTGACCAGGATGATATCAAGGTTCTTGAACGTCACTGGAGCTGTGTTCAATCAGGCAAGTGGGGAATGTTCCACCACACTCTTGACTTGTGCCTTGTAGATAGTGAACAGGCTTTGGTGCGTCAGAAGAGGAGTTACTTTTACAAGATTCCTAGCTTCTGGCCAGCTCTTGTAACTACATTCTTTCTTTCTTGTCCTCAGTGTACGCAGTGGAACTGTTGTAAGAAACTGAGAATTGAAAGACTTGTCGTAAAGCCAATGAAGTACTTTTAGAAGATGCTTGGCAACCAATTTTTGAGGAGCAAGAAGTCACAAACATCAACGTGATAATGACTTGAAAAACTCTTTCTTATGGATGGTGGCTAAGAAATAATTACTGGCCAGGATACATCGGCAAACTCTCCACCCCACTTGGAAATACTGCCATAGGATCTTTTGTATCTGCACTAGACAGCAGACAGGGCATCGTTTTAATGCTTGCTGATATTGAAAAAGAGACTAGCAGCGAGTGAGACCTTGTTCAACGCCACACTGCTGGGAAAACAGATGCTGCTAAAACAAATTAAATCAAAAATTTTCCTGAAATCAAGTTATGTTCTTTCAATCATGGAAGTTCTCTCCACAAAGAATTCTACCTAGAATTTCCAGTGGATCAGTCCTTTGAAGGTTAGCTTCTTAAATTAATGCCCATAATACCTTTTCTATTAGTAGCTTTTTACTCATCGTCACGCATTTATTTAACCGTTCTTTGTATCTTTCAAGCATTTTCTGTTGTTCATCTATTTGTCTTCTTAAATCACAATTTGTCTGAAATGGAAAGAAAGAAAATCAACAAGCCATTACGTTTACAACTTAGCACAACAGCTTCTATTGTTATTGACAATACCAACACTGCTTTCAAGAGTAATGACAGATAAAAAGTGTGGCTGACATATGTTACTGCAATAACAAGTGTTATATTAATCCTGAATGTTGTTGATGAAAGGGCCACGGAGGGGCTATAAAACATTGCTGCCCTTTCAATTACAGCTTCCTACCTTACAGATGCCCTATTGGGAAAGTTCTGGTACTGCAGAGTTAAAAACAGTTAACAGTACTGCAGTTAAAATATTGTGTTTGGGCTGTTACTGCTATACTTTCAACAGTCCATTCTTTTTAAGTAGGTCAACTAAAGAAAGAAAATAAAATCAGAAACTCCAGTCCCGTGCTATGCATAGACAAGTTCTGAATCACTGAGGTAACAGGAATAGTTTTCACATGAACATTCGAAAAAATTTCGAAACTTTCCACACTGTTAAACTCATTAGCAGTTCATGGGATTTAAATCCATTCAGGATGTTACAAAAACCACTGCAATTACTTTAATAACAAAAGGGATGATGCAGTGAATAAGATGCTGGCCTTATCCAGCACAAACTGGGATAATGATCCCCTTGCTCAAGCTGGCTAAAAGCATTCTGCAAATGTTTAAAATATTTAAAACTTGGTCCTCAGCAAGACAGCCCAATGCTGGCAGAGGGAAAGTTGGGAATCTCACTAGGAGGTTGGGGTGGGGGGTGGGGGAATCTTACAGAAACATAAAATTATTAAGGAAATAGATAAGATAGAAGCAGGGAGATTGTTTCCACTGGTGGGTGAAACTAGAGCTAGGGGACATAGCCTCAAAACAAGGGACAGCAGATTTAGGAGTGAGTTGAGGAGGAACCTCTTCACCCAAGGGGTTGTGAATCTTTGAAATTCCCTGCCCTGTGATGCAGTTGAGATTACCTTGTTGAATGTTTTTAAGGCAAAGATAGACAGATTTTTGAACAGTAAAGGAACTAAGGGTTATGGTGAGCGGGCAGTTAAGTGGAGCTGAGTCCACGAAAAGCTCAGCCATGATCTTACTGAATGGTGCAGCAGGCTCCAGAGGCCGGATGGCCTACTCCTGCTCCTATTTCTCATGCTCTTACGTCATTGTGGATGACTTGTGAACTGGAAAAGTGTCTTTAGGATTTGCATCTCAGGCACGCAGTTTTGAAAAGGAAGATACTGGTGTAGGGGGAGATTTACTTGGAGGATGCTTTTACTGGGAAATAATTTGGTACTTCCCCATATTACTCAGGAATATGCACACTGTGACTCGCAAAATATCATTCTTTAACAACCAGTCGTTCTTTTCCTCCTCATTTTTGTTAAAAAAAAATGTGCAACTAACCAAGACCGTAAAATGCTTTCTGCTTCAGACGGTAGTGAAGATAACCAATTTCAAACATTGCCAAATGTCACTTTGAGGAATACAAAATTCACCAGCGAAGTAAAAACAACTGAAGATACATCAAAATTAAAAATAAATGCTTGTTCACATCCAAAATAAATGACAAGTTCTCTAAAAACTTCACAACTTCCTATAAATGGAAGATTTCCTGATAAACATTGCATAAATAGATTCCTAATCATGTTTTGCAGAAGGTGTGCGTGTTTTTGATGATTAGTGACTTTGACAGAAAACAGGAAGAGGCAAACCTTCCCTAATGGAATCATTCACTGAATGGTACCTGGCAAACATATGATTATTCCCCCATTTCCGAGCATATATAACATTATGAGCAGCTTGGGCAGTAAGGCAAGTCCATAAGAACTATGTTCACAAAAAGACACATCTCAGCTTACCAAATTATCTCAGTTAACATTTTACTAAAGGGAAACTCCCAACACTAGTGGTTTTACACAGTACTTATAGCTTCACTGTATTAGTGTTTAGATTCTAACAGGATGAATTTTCACCTGCTATGTAAATGTCGACACTTTATCCCAATCCAGAGTTGATGGGGCTAACTTCGACAGCCAACTTGCTCAATTTGTTTTGGCATGCGGTCAGGAGGCACTGTAACACATATTAGCTCAAACGCAGAGGGTTCACGGGCAGAGTGCACGTTACTCAGAACAGTTGGGCCATTCACGATTCATGTGCAAATTCAATTCTCCAGCTGTTGTAGAGCTGGATGAACACAGCAGGCCAAGCAGCATCAGAGTAGCAGGAAAGCTGACGTTTCGGGTCTAGATCTCTAGGCCCAAAACGTCAGCCTTCCTGCTCCTCTGATGCTGCTTGGCCTGCTGTGTTCATCCAGCTCTACACCTTGTTATCTCAGATTCTCAAGCATCTGCAGTTCCTACTATCTCTCTCCAGCTGTTACTGGTCTTGCTTCAGATTAGTCCATTTCCATAAGTTACTATATACACTGATGTGGTTGGCAAGAGTATGCATTGCTGAAACAAAATGATGGAAAGCTGCAGACTGCTTCCATTTCGATTTCGTCACTGGGGACATTTACATGCATTCCAGTGTGCTTTTTCCAGAGGATAAAAGAATCCACAAATAAATCACCCTTTGGACTGAAGTCAGCTTCGTTTCCCTGTTTGAAAGGGCAGCTCATTTCACAAACAGGACGTGTCTGGACTGGGCTGCACAACAACAGGCTTCTTTCTGTCTTCAAGCTCACGTGGCTGTACAAGAAGTTGGGAAATGGCCCATTTTCCCTTTACTGCCTGGTAGGCACACACTTCCAGTTTTAAGGCCATTTTAAAAAAGAACACAATTATGATTGGGGAGTTGTTAATTTCCAAGATATGGATATAGCAGTTGATTGCTCTGTGAAACACAAACACACACACACACTAACAGACACACATATTCACAGACACACACACACAAATTCAAAACAAAATGCCACTTTGTGGGTTTCTTCTTCCTTTTCACCATCAATTTCATATTTCAGGAGACTTATTTTAGGGGCACAACTGTCAGACTAAAATATCATGGAAGACCACGTTTGTCTGGAATCACCAGCTTTACAAAAATCTAAATTAGAACCTGCAATATTACTGGTTTGCTTTCAATTTGATTTTTAAAGTCCAGTCTCCTTCTGAGAGTTTAAAGTAATCCTTTGAGTGGATTTGAATGATTCAATAATTTGCAACTCACATGACAGAAAAGAGGAATTTAGTGTAAATGACATTCTAAAATTAGGAGAATCTGGACTAAAATCTGGAATAAAATAACATACTTTACAGCACAAATTATGGAAAATTTCTACTATTAAATCCATTACTTGAATAAACATCATGCTAAACAGCTTGCATCTCCTTTTTACCTACCTCAAACACAATGTCACCCATAATTAAGTTGCAAATTTATGACCAGATCAGGATTAGAATAAAAAAAAGTAACACAGGAATGTATTAGATCGAAGACCACTGCAGTTCACCTCCAGTATGAAAAGCTATTTCTACAATTATTTGTTTCACTACACACTAGGGCAACATGAAGGTGCAGCAAGCAACTTTCCACAACAGAAGCAGATCCCCCAGAATGGTAATGAAACAATTAACACACCATTTGCCAAACAAAACAGCAAGTTTACAAGTGAATTAAAAGACACTCCCTAGAACAAACGGACACAGGCAGAACCGTCATTATCAACAGCAACACATGTAAACTGAGCAAAGACGGTCATCATATGGATAAAGTCTCAATGGCTATGCCTGTGGTGGGTATGACACACAATGAAAGAGACCTGATTTAAAACGTTGAGTGACTTTGGGTACATTTGGTGCTGCACTTCTTGGGAGAGATGTTGGGGGTGGGAAGATGACTCCAGTTCACCTTAACAGAGACGGATACAAGTACACAAGTTTTGAACATAGATTATGTAATTAAAAATATAAAGCTCGAAAATAACATCATTCTTAAATAACATCAGAATATAACAAACATGAGGATTAGCTCACATAAACCATCACCCTGTCCCACCAATCAATATGATCATGGCGGTTCTATGTCTTCATCTCCACTTTCCTACCCTCTCCTCAAAATTTGCTGACACCAAATATCTTTGTACTCCAACCTTAAACATGCTCAACCATGTAGCATCCACAACCTGCAGCAGCACAGAATTCCAAAGATTCACATCTTTGGAGGCATTTCAGCTCATCTTAGTTCTAAATTATTCATTTCTAACCCTAAGACTGCACCTCTGTACCGCTCAGAATTTCAAATGCCCCAACCAGTGAAAACAATTTCTCAGCATACAACAATCGTTTCACCCCTAGTGTACTTTAGGGAAGGAAACTGCCATCCTTACCTGGTCTGGCCTACACACGTGATTCCACACCCACAGCAATGTGGGTGACTCTTGACTGCCCTCAGGAAAATTAGGGATGGGCAATAAATGCTGCTTAGGCAGCGATGCCTTCATCCCATGAATGAATAAAGAAAATAAAATCCCAGGAGCCCATTTAATGATCATTTGCTGTACTGTCTTCAATTCAAGTATATCCTTCCTTAAATAGGGAAACCAAAACGGTATATAATATTCCAGATGTGATCTTACCAAAGGCCTGTGCAATAACATGGCTTTATTCCTGTACTCCAGTCTCTTACAATAAATGCCAACATGCCATCCACTTTGTTGTATCTGCATGCTTACTTTCCCCATTCTTTGTACCAACGCACTCAAATCTCTTTAAATAACATTTACAACTTTCATATCTTTTAAAGAATATGCTGCTTTTCAATTCTTACAAATGAATTCATGTTGTACTCTGTCTTAATGCTCACTCACTTGTCCTTGCCACTCCTTACCTTTTCATTTAGCTTCGCATCATTAGATACATTACTGTCTGTTGCCTTTGTGCAAGTCACTAATACAAATTGTAAATTGCTGAATTCCCAAGACCGATCCTTGTGGCATTCCACCATCCACTGCCTGCCAATTTGAAAATGCCATGTTTACGCTCATTCTCTGCTTCTTGTTCCTTAACCAATCCTCTAACTGTGGTAATCTATTGCAGAATCTGGAAGAAAAATAAATCTCTCTCTCTCTCTCTCTCTTCTGGAGATGCACTACTCAGAGGGAGCCACAGACTTCCATGGCCTCATCCATTTGACCACTGTTCAGGGTAGTTAAGTCAGGAAGTGTTGATAAGTATTTGACCAAGACAGGCATCCCAGTTAATGTTGCCAGACAACATACACCTTTCGGCTTGAGGTTCCTGGATATTTGTCAGCAGTGAAACTCTTGGGTGATTTTCTCTCCCAATTTCCTGGCGGGGCAATGCAACTTCCAGCCTTTAGACGCACCTCCCAAGTTAAAGACAGTCAGAAATAATACTTGGAACATGAAAGAAGCCTCATGGCGTGAAACCACAATTGTTTTGTCTTCCCATCTAATTCTGTAAAAAGCATTTCAACCATGGAACTGACAGACAAATTGGAATCTATATGGACAATGTGAAATGCAACATTTTTTTGGTGCTTCAGAAAATGAACCAGGGAATGTTTTATCCAAAGGTTGTATCCTTACAAAAAGAAAAATCTCATTCTCAACCCGTGATTGAATAAAAACCGAAAGACCTGCGGATGCTGTAAATCAGGAACAAAAACAAAATTGCTGGAGAGGCCTAGCAGGTCTGGCAGCATCTGTGAAGGAAAAAACAGAGTTAACGTTTCGGGTCCGGTGACCCTTCCTAACTCTGAATGATATACACAGTTGATGGTTACCCCTGAGCTCATTATTGTGTAAATGTGAGCACAAGGATTCAGGCTTTAACTGTCAGCGCTTTCGAAAATGCAAACTAGCCATGAACGTTGAAAATTATTGCAAATAAACTAAAATTTACAGCAGCATCATTTCAACAAACAGAATGCAAAAATCTGTTAGATAAAGGCTACCATGTGAATGATAACATTAGCTTGATTTAAGCGACTAATAGTGGATATTCCTGGGTCTGGCGCCATCTGGTGGAATCGAAGAACATAAAGTCTTTGGAAAATCCAGTCTACACAAAGCAGACCACCTCCTACCCAAAAATAAATCCAAATCTGTCCTTCACAAATGTCAATAAAATCACTACTTCGTTCAACTAGAGTTTTTAAAATGTATGCCATACTCTGCTTCTCTGCCATTACCACAAAAATATCAAGCTTTCATTATTGTATTTCTTTTAAAGTAGTTTAAAAATATACTACACTGAACAAGCCTTATAAAAGTAAATTATTTAAATCATTCCCATTTTGATAGCCTGGTTCTGTCCCAAATGCTTCTCATAAAAAAAAGAAATGAAATTGCCCCTTTTTCTATCTCACTCACAGAACAAATCCAAAGTCAGTTTTTCATCAATATTGCCATCAAACAGCTCCACCTACAGGGGTAATACAGTATGGAGCTGGAGGAGCACAGCAGGCCAGGCAGCATCAGAGGAGCAGGAAAGTTAACCTTCCGGGTCGGGACACTATCTCAGAGTTTTACTCCGCAGTCTGCTCTGTCGCACTATGTCAATGCCTTAGACAGCCAAAAACTGTAGCTGATATTCTCTACTGCACTAAGTTCAAAAGCCTCCATCACCAGGCAACCAAGGAAATTACTCAGTCGCACTTTTGAAATAAAGACTCAAATCTCAATTTGTGAAGAATCGGCTCAATTCTACTCCACGAGTGAAATGTATGGATTTGAAATCTATTGTAGCCACAGCCCCGCGTGCGCACGAACACACACAATCTATGCCTGCGGGGTATATAATGCCAGTCACATTAGCTAAATTGGCACTGCTAGTCAAATCAAAACACTGCGCAGCAACATGTTGGTTGGGTGCTAGAACAACAACATGTTTTGGCAAAATACATTAAGCAAAATTCCAATAGGAAACGCTCTTTGGCAGCCAATTGCAGAGCAATACTATCGGTCCACATGCCATTGTTGTTCACCAAATTACAGCTGGGAGGATTTTGTGATCCAAAACAAGAAGTGTTGCACTAGAAAAGCACAAAAAAAAGCACTAGACAATTTTTCAGTGGTTTTTGTCTTAGACTTGTATTGTGCATTTGATTCAGATCATAGCAAGCCAAAATGCAAAACAATTAAGTTGGAGCCAACCATATACACTGATATTGAGATCAATGATCCATCCACATTAAGACAGCAGTTTATCACGTAAACATTTCACTCTGAGCCAGGAATGACATTAGTGCATTTCAACTTGAGCAATAACTAAATGTATGATGACTAAATACAAGAACAAATCAGTTTGAGTAACCCTCCAATTATTCAAGGGTAGAATTAAGTAGACAGAGGCTAACAGCAGAAAGGAACCTCAAGGAGACTGGAATTTCTGATTGAGCATTTCATCTTCAACATGTTCGGGTTAAGGGAGGAGAACATCTCCAAGACCTGGACAAAACATATGCGCCTCTTCTGACCACTGGCCTGTCTGCACCTTCCATTACCATTTTACAAGGACTGGCAGCCTCTGATAAAATTGTGAATCACTTGTAATTTTCTGTCATGCTGTTGATGCATCAGTCCACAGATATGGATTGGATCAGACTGCAGCAGTAGCTTAGGGCGTTACTGAACCACCGAGCCTGAAGGAAGCCTGTTAATATAATCTCTCTTTTCTACAGGGAACACAGTTGTATTGAATTAAATTGGAGTTTCACTTTGGCAGCCAAAGGCCAAGATAATACTTGTAGTTGCATAACAGGACCACAAAGAGGCCTCCCATCACTGGCATTACTTAGCTTCACTGTTTGAATAGAATTTCAACAGGGTTCAATAAAACTTCAATACAACTGCACAGGGTATGCAAAATGTTAAAGGCTTCTTTTTGAGTGGAACAGAGTATGTGCCATTAACGGCAAGATAGTCACATGTAATGACAGTGCACTGAAATAATCCATCTGTCTATGCGCATGCACTCACCATGCAGTACATGCTTGCAAGTGATAGACATGATGTCAGTTGAATCAATCTTTAATTAATAGGTGCCTCTTTGTCCATATTCATAAATTGACAGTTTCCAAAAGGGGACTTTTGCTACTAAGCTACTCAGTCAAGACAGTCAAGTTCTTCATTATGAACACGTCTGTTGAACAAATCTTCCAACATGAAGAACCTGACTGCCTTGACTGGGTAGCTTAGTGGCAAAAGTCCCCTTTTGGAAACTGTCAGTTTATGAATGTGGACAAAGGGGCACCTATTAATTAAAGATTGGATTCAACTGACTTCATGTAATCGCTTGCATGTGTGTGTGACACTATCGTTCATTACAAATGCATGGTGAGCGGGTGTGCATAGACAGATGGATCATTTCAGTCACATGTAATGACACTGTGCTATTTTGCTGTTAATGGCACATATTCTGTTCCACTCAAAAAAAAAGCCTTTAACATTTTGCAGTTATGTCTCTCAATTGGACTAAATTTTTCCAGATTTCAAGTCCAACACAGACTCATGACTACAACATAAAATACTATAGATGCTGGACATCTGAAACACAACAAATGTAGATGAAGCTCAGCATCTGTGGAGAGAGAAACAGAGTTCACGTTTCGAATCTGTATGACTTAGAAGAGTCATATCTGACTCAAACAGTGCTGAACAAGTCAGATCTGACTCAAAATGCTATTTGTCCTTCCACAGATGCTGCCAGACCTGCTGAGATTTTCCAGCATTCTTTGCTTGTGTTATGGACTCAGGAATAACTGTGCAATTTATTACAATATCAATGCTACCAAAAGATAATTTCTGCTCAGTTATTTGATGACTCAGGAGATGCCAGTGTAAAAAAAAAATTAGTCAATTAAACTGGATCATCAGACACAGGTGGTATACTTGCCCTTTCATCAAACTCCTGGTGGTAATATTTTTCTTGCATTTGTTGATACATTTATAAAGACAATACTCTGATTTGCAGATTTGCAACTGGTGTTCCATTATACAGCAGCATTGGCCATTAATGCAGCCTACTTTTGGAGACGGAGTCTACTTTCACCATTCTGTCTTCTCATTGTCTTTATTTAAGTTTAAAGGCTAATTTCAGACCCAGGTTTCTCACCTTCAAACTAAACATGAAATTCAATCATATTATGATCACTTGTCAACTAATTTCCTCTCCGTTATACCACAGTTACCTTGTCATGGGTGTAAAGTGATTATAAGATATACTTCTACAGTTCACTAAATTAAAAAAAAACAGCTTAGTCAAAAACAGATTTTTACCCTTAGTAAATCGTCAATTCTTCCCTCCTTTTTCTCCAGGTCAGAATTTTTACTGCTTTCCAGGGCAGTTAGTTTTTCCAGCGTGAAGTCTGTCTGCAAACACACAAAACGGTTTCTTTAGTACTTTTTTTTAAATGCAGCTTTCAAAGAAGAACTACAGAGTAACATACAGGTAAGAACATGATTTATTTTCAATTCTAGCATTCCAATTTTCTATGCATGACCAACATCTATGAATGATGCATACACATATAAATAAGTTTCTGGCATCTGGGCAAAAATAGTCAAGTACTTGCACATTGTTAATTATTATTTTCCACAATTTCAAATTTCAAATGTTAACTGCTGATCTAAAATATTATTATTTTGACTGAAATAAAAAGTGAACAGAGCATCACATTTGTTTGTAACGTGAATATTTCTCTTAAATCACTTTCTCTGGACACAATATCTAGCCAACAGTCCTATGTTATGTGTTTGCAACTCTAACACATGCCTTATTTTAGAAATTCAGTGCATCAATGCAACATGTCTTAACTCTGTGGGTGAACATTAGGTAAAAATGTTCTTCCATGGGCATTGAGTTTTACAAGCTTCGATACAAATGTTTATAAATGATGTAAATTAGGAGAAATGACCTAAACACACATGACATGACCAGCAGTCCCCTAATGCAACAAAACACTCTTTCTCCAAATTCCCAAACCCACCTCTTCCAACCCCCCAATTACAACAGGAGCAAAAACAATTCAAGAGAGGGATTTTGAATTGCAGTTACATGTGGATCTAAACATTTATTTAACTGTTCTGGATTAGACTCCACAAATTAAAAAGCCAACAAGATTGAAATGAGATCTGAATGTTAGGTGGAACGGTTGTACCAAGCATATGGAATGAGATACTCAAAGATGTTCAGTGTCAAGCTAATTCCTTTTGAAATGGAACTGCATTAGTAATGGGTTGTAAGATGAGGTTAAGTATTATGAGGCAAAAGCACTCCACAGATTGCAGGAAGATGGTAGCTTTCTCGTAGTGTCAATTCACTATGAAACCAGAGCTTACATTCTGGGGACATGGGTTCAATTCCATCATTGCAGAATTTGAAATCAATTAATCAATGTGGTACTGCAAACTAAACAATCGTAACTAGAAAACAATCAACTGTCATAACAAACCTAACTGGTTCACTAATGCCCTTTAGGGAAGGAAAACTACCATTCTTATCAGGCCTGACCTACAACTAAATTCTAAAGACCCTCAGCAATGTGGCTGACTCCCAAATGCTCTCTGCAATGTGTCAAGAAGAGTGAATTATATACCAGGATCTCAAATTCAAAGATGCAGATGGGCGCGTCAGTTCTAGGGCTAATTTAAAAGAAAAGTCAAAAAGTCATTTGGAACAGTGATCCAAGTGCATCAATTCAAAAAAAGTTTGCAACTGCAGTCAAGTGCCTGAGAGGGACAAAACCTCTTGATTGTTAACAAATGTAAGGTTTATATTACTGAGTTTACAACAGAGCAGAAAGCCGTTAGTTTTGGCTTCAGACTGATGGTTCAAAGTTTCAAATTTGAACAAATGTGAGTTCAATTTCTCCTAGCAGGAGAATCAGGGTTTTAGCTTCAAAGAACCAGTCACCCTAGCTGACGTGCTTTAATTTGTTTGGCTTCTAAGCCAGGAGAACTTGGATAAAAGTCTTATAGTTATTAGAAATTAAAAAGTTTAGACTATGCGGACTGTTAAAGGTTCATGCTAGTGCTCTTAGAAAGGAATTGTAAAACTGTCTCCACAGTCCACAGAAAAGAAGCTCAGACATCAGTTAAGTAGAAAAAAAACAAATAGTTCAGATACCTTCAAAATCTCTCTGGAATTGAGTATTTTTAAAAGGGTTGTGTTAGGAAACAGGTTGAACTTTTGTTTTGCTGTTCATGTCAAGCTTTTCTATTTGATTACTAAGTTTATTGCACACAAGAACAAAACAGTATGTACTGTTGTTAAAGAACATCTGCAGTCTAATGTGAGTATGTTCAATGACTGGTAACCAATTGCAACAATTAAACATATGATCTATCAATTCAGTTTCCTTCTGGGATCTGACTTGCCCAGTATTCCCATCAGCTGTGATCATAACAAATGATCCAGCATGCCATTAGGAGCAAGCATCAAGGGCAATTAGGGATGGACAACAAACAGTGGCTTACATCCAATGAAAGAGCGGTCAAAGAAATACAGTGGATTCTACACTGGTGGAGATCATGAATGTAGCAGCTATGGAACTCACCCCTTGTCAATCAAAAATGGTCCCAACTCAGCTTTGAATATATTCAATGGCCAGTCTCCAATGCTCTCTGGCGAACAGTCTCCCAATGGTCAATGTTCCCCAGAAGAAATTCTTCCTCATCTCCATCTTAAAGGGAGGAACCTTATTTTTAAACTATGCCTCTCCTTCAGAGTAAACATTCCCTTGGTATCTATCCTGTCAAGCTCCCCTCAATACTGTATGTTTCAATAAGATCATCAGTAATTCTTCTAAACCCTAATAAGGAAAGGTCCAAATTTAGAAGCTCCTGATTATAAAAGAACAAAAACAGAACTTGCTGGAAAAGCTCAGCAGGTCTGGTAGCACCTATGCAGCGAAATCAGAGGTAACATTTCAGCTCCAGTGATGCTTCTTCAGAACCTGAGGTCCCTGGGTTCAGTCCACTCATGTCCAGTCACCAGACCTGAAACATTATCTGATTTCGCTCCACAGATGCTGCCAGACTTCTGAGTTTTTCCAGGAATTTCTGTCTTTGTTTCGGATTTCAAGCATCCGAAGCTCTTCTGGTATTTTTCTGATCATAAGAGAACCCTTTTAAGTTTGTTCCTGGAATAGTGAATCACCTATGAACTGCCTCTAATGCAAGTACACATCTCATTAAATAAGGGGACAAAAACTACACACAGTACACTACTTGGTCTCTCAGTAACAGAAGTTGTCGTAAGACTTCTCTACTTTTATTCTCCAAAGCAAACATTCCCTTTGTATTCTTAATTACTTGCTGTACCTCAATGCTACCATATGTTATTCATGTATGAGGACTCCCAGATCTGTCTGCACTGCGGCATTTTATAGCCTCACACAATTTGAATAATATTCTGCTTTTATATTCTTCCTATGAAATTGGACAATGTCACACTTGCCCCACATTATATTCTATTTGTCAATTTTTGCATACTCACTTAACCTATAATCCTTTGCAGACTCCTGTATCTTCCTTACAACTGGTTTTAGACCGATATTTGTACCAAGCAGTCAATTTGGGTGCTCTGCACTTATTATGTCACTGGCTGAAGGAAATATTATAACTTGGGAGGCCCCACTGATCCCTGTGACACTCCACTGGGTTGGCACAATTTGCCATCCTGAAAATGACCCATTTATCTCAATCGTTTCCTGTTACTTAGGCAATTTGCAACCTATGCTTACCTATATTAATCCCAAATCAATAAACTCTTATCCTGTGTAGATAAGGCATTGAATGCCTTCTGGAAATTCAGATAGACAACACTTATTGGTTCCCCTTTTATTGAGGTTCGCTGTTACATCCTCGAAGAACTCAAATTAACAAAACATTTCTCTTTTACAAAACAACATTGACATCACCTGATCAAATCAAAGCTTTCTAAATGCCTTACTACTACTTAGTAGGCTGGAGATAGGACGGAATATAATTAGAAGAAGCCTATACCAAGTTCAGAAACAGAAATCACATCTGACAAATATAGTCCACGAAGAGGTGACTGATCTAGTGGGTGGGAGGAACCCAGCAGATTGACTTGATCACTTAAAAGAAATTCTATCATTTCCCCAATGACAGAACAACTGGCTGCTTCTTACTTTTTTGTAGTTTTAATTAACCTGCTCAGAAAAATTATTACACACAACCGGAGCAGGTAGGACTTGGAACCTGGGTCTCCTGACCTAGAATAGGGACACGAGCACTGCAAGAGCCTTCAGAAGGCAGATTTGGCATAGTCCCAGAGTACTACAGGGCTGCTCTCATTAAAGAGAGATGACTGGTGGAGGGTTTAACCTTAGGGTCACCATGCCTCAGGCAAACGACAAGGTTAGAAGGTCAGCCCTTCATGGTGATCTCACCCAGCACAAGAACTGAACCTGCACTTTTGGCATCACTCTGCATTGCAAACCAGCCATCCAGCCAACTGAGCAACCAATTCCTTAACTAGGCTGTTGTGGTGCACTGGTAGTGTCCCTAATTTTGAGCCAGAAGGCCTGGGTTCAAGTCCCACCTGCTTCAAAGATGTCTAATGACATCTTTGAGCATGCTTATTGGGAAAAAAAAAGTTGCAGAAGTTCCCTTGTGTTTTGTCCCTGCTACACTGGCTGAACAGCTTAAAGTTGCTTTCTGTATGGATACCAAATTTTATTCTGAACAGAACTTTAAGGGACTCTTGTTGCACAGTGGTATTGTCCCTACCATTCAGCCAGGAGGCCTAGGTCCAAGTCCAACCTGCTGCAGAGGTGCATAATAACATTAGTGAATGGACTGATTAGAAAAAGAAACACCAAGGGCTCTTATGGTGCATTGGTAGTGCCCCTACCTCTGAGCCAGGAGATCTAGGTTCAAGTTCCATCTGCCAGGATTGGAGGGCTTGAGTTACAGGGAGAGGGTGAATAAGCTGGGGCTATTTTCCCTGGAGCGTCGGAGGCTGAGGGATGACCTTATAGAGGTTTATAAAATGATGAGGGGCATGGATAGGGTGAACAGTCAAGGTCTTCTACCCGGGGTAGGGGTGTCCAAAACTAGAGGGTATAGGTTTAAGGTGAGAGGGGAAAGATTTAAAAGGGACCTAAGGGACAATGCTTTTACTCAGAGGATGGTGCATGTATGGAATGTGCTGCCAGAGGAAGTGGTGGTGGCTGATACAATTACAATATTTAAAAGACATCTGGATGGGTATATGAATAGGAAGGGTTTACAGGGATATGGGCCAAATGCTGGCAAATGGGACTAGATTAAGTTAGGATATCTGATTGACATGGATGAGTTGGACCTAAGGGTCTGTTTCCGTGCTGTACAGCTCTATGACTCTATGCTGCAGAGGTGTGCCATAACATCCCTGAACAGGCTGATTAGAAGATATCTCGAGAAAGAATAGAAATAAGCGTACAAAAAAGGAATAACAATTATTTGTATTTAAAACCATCAACCATCAATTCCTGAAAAAGAAGACTGAGGGACTCTTATGGTGCACTGGTATCACCCTTATCTCTGAGCCAGCTCTATTTGCTCCAGAAAATCTCATCTGGCACCTTCCTAGTACATAGGGAATTTTGTAAGATTGCAACCAATATGTCCACTGTCCATGCAGCTACCTCCTCTTAAAATCTTTGTCCATGCCAGCATTTTTCAGTACCCCCTTGCAATTTCTTTTGGTCCTCCACTATTTGCTTCATCTCTTTTTTAGAACAAATGCAGGCATCACTAAATCTAGTCCTGTATCCTAAATTATTGATATACAGTGAACAGAACCAGAATGGTGTAGCCTTAACATTACCGTCTTTCAACTGCTCTAGAAAACAACACTCAACCTTCACTTTTTTTTTTTAAAAACAGCAATAAAACTGTTTAATTCAATTTGCCAGATCTGCTGTTTGGTAACCTTTCAGGGTCTTTGAGGTCTAGTCACTGCATTTCTCCTACCCACTTCTCTCATTCACCTCCAAATAGAACATGTTTGTCAGACGTGATCTCTCTTTCTGAACAGATTTGGTGGCTTCTAATTATTTTCTCTCCTACTTAACTTATTACTCTGCAGTTAGCTGGTTAGCTAGGTCTCCAGTTTTGACAATGCTTATTTCCCAGTCCTCCTGCACACTTTCATATTCAGTAGAACTCCAAAATATTTTTTAGGGCCTCCCCAATTTCCTTTATGCTTTTCTGATGACTCGAGCAGTTTGTCCTTCTTGATCTCAGTAAACCTCATTTTTCTCTCTCTCTCCCTATTAACACACAACCTAAAACTTGTTCCTTTGAGCACACTGGAAGAGTATTCAAGCCAATTTCAATTACCATCTCCTCTTGGGTTCCACTATGCATTTAATAATTTCCACTTAACTTTTCCTACAAATGACATTTAACTGGGGGAATGAAAAGTTCTATGAAGCTGAAGCTAAATCAGAAAATGAGGAGGGCAGCATTTGTGCATTCCGTGCATTACATACCTGTAATTGTTTGTGTTGTACATTAATGATCTTTTGTGAACTACAGGAATGTTCTGTGTTGGCCGATCCCACTGACGAAGGACTGCCATGCTGAACCTCAGATTTAAAACAGAAGGACCATGTAAAACTTCAAATCTTAAACTGCTCCAACTAGGTTTAATCACTACCACTCTGGGCTACCCGCTTCAGCATTCCATCTGTTGAATTTCTGTTGAATATACTAAAGAGTAAAGAGGTAGAGGCAACTTCTCCCAAATGGCTAGTGAACTCTTGCCATTCAATACCTAGGCATCACTGCATTGCACAGCTTTACCAACTTCTTACACAGTTATGACCAGGGGCTAAGATTTCTGATCAGGTCATAGCCTTAATTTTTTATTCTATTATTTGTTGTGTGCAGCCCTTTACAAACTGACGACGATGGCATTTTCATGAGCTTCACCCTCCATCAAAAGGTCCTTATCCCTTCAATTCTGTCCTTCTCCTCCCATAACTTTGCCTTTCCTTGAACAGTTCTACTTTCTTTATTCAACCCATGCAATTTCTGTTTTTCACTCCCCGTCTTGTTGAATAAGGCATCCAGACATCCATTTGTTTTTTTTTTGCTTCCTCTTCCACGCTAAACTGTAAAACAACTCAATGGGCTACAATAGATCTAAATTTAAAAAAGAACACGGAATACTGATCTAGAAAACAAACACTTCCCAAACCAACAAAATACAGTAAAAGCTTATCAACCAGTTATCTGTCTTTGCCCCTTCTCCATCCAAATGGGGCCTCGCAGATAGGCCACTAAATTCCTCTCAAAGAATTTTACTACTTGGGTGCTTCATTTCTTGTCAGTTTCCTATGCTGTTCGGCCATCCACTTTTCTTCCTCAATGAGTACAAATTACAGGCACTGGAGATCTGGAGGCCTAGTATTAAGTAATATCTGTAACTATATGTCTCTCGCATTTTAAACTGCAATCTTCCCGATCTGTGTGGTTTAGTATCACATAATCATGCTAAGGTGCCCCATGGAAAGCTCTAACCAGGGTGGAGTTGACTTAGGGAATCAGTGTTGCAATGATGCATTAAATTATTATGCAGCTTGACACGTACTAATTTACATACATTTCCTACTAAGTATTTAATACTCACAGAAGGTGATGAATATGATAAGGAATGCTGTGGGGATGAACGAGCTACGGGAGGTACACTCCGCCCTGGACTTGTGCCTGTGACACTGCCGCCAGCAAACTGAAACATAAACACCATTTAGTTACGATACAGTACTGATTCATATCCATTGTTTTCCATTTAGACAAGATGGACAAACAGAAATAGCATTGACTATAAAGCAGAGCAAAAAACTTTCCTGCCAGCACAATAAAAAATCTGTCTGCCCTCAAATCTACTTTTTAAACAGGGTAAAATAGTAAAGTACACTATACTAAAATGTTAGGTTTAAAAAGCTCCCATATAAAGCTGTTAACATTTAGGGCAGCACGGTGGCTCAGTGGTTAGCCCTGCTGTCTCACAGCACTAGGGACCCAAGTTCAATTCCATCCTGAGGCTACTGTGTGATATTTGCATATTCTCCCCTATCGATGCGGGTTTCCTCCGAAATCCAAAGATGTGCAGGTTAGGTGGACTGGCCATGCTAACTTGCTCATACTGTCCAGGGATGTGTAGGCTTGTTGGGTTAGCCATGGGAAATGCAGGGTTACAGGGATGGGGTAGGGGAGCAGGTCTGGATGGGATGCTCCTCGGAGGATCAGTGTGGGCTCAATGGGCTTGCTTCCACACTGTAGGGATTCTACGATAATAAGACAAAGATGATGGAGATTAGAAACAAACAAAAATAGAACATGCTGGAGAAGTTCAGGAAGTCTGACGGTAGCTGTTAACAATTCCATTCTTCTGGAGGAGGGTCACTGGACTCGAAATGTTAGCTCTGTTTTCTCTCTACAGGTGGTGCCAGATCTGCCGAGTTTCTCTAGTAACTTCTGATTTTGTTTGTTTAAAAGTCTCCACTCTGTTAAAGGACAGTCACTCTATGCTGAGGATCTAAGAAACAACTCAAGAGAATAATCGAAAATGGCTGTTTACTACAAAATGCACCAATGTGACCACTTATTTAAAATTAAGTATTGTAGTGGGGGTATCACTGGCAAAGTTGCCAGTCATCATTGATCCCTAGTTGCAGTAGTAAAAGTGAGTTTTCTTTGTGAGCTTCTTGCAGTCCATGTGGTGAATACACTCCCAGTGCATTAGGTAGGGATTTAAGAGATAACAGCGTGGAGCTGGAGGAACACAGCAGGCCAGGCAGCAGCACAGGAGCAGGAAAGCTGACGTTTTGGATCGGGGCCCTTAAATAAATAGAGAGAGGAGGGGTGGGGCGGGGGAATGAGAACAGTTTACGTTAAATGTTTCACTAGTTGATGTCTAATTTTCTCAGAATGGCGATCACAGGCAGAACCAGTTCAATCTTTTGATTTCCAAGTTTTGGAAATACTGGTGGAAAGTCCTTAGGACATGATTTTTGTGGACATAATGGGAAACCTAAACTCCAAGATAGGGCAGACAAAAAAAGGTGGGCGTGAAAGGGAAGTAAGGTTTTCTTTTGTTTATGAGAAGGGTGCAGAATAGATAAACTCTGAAAGGTAATTAGATATACAGAGTGGGGATTAAAATTAGGACACTGAAAATTTTAGTTGCAGGAAATGATTGTAGTCATAACACTATTCAAATATCCAAAGTAACTGTATAACATGCAATACCTTTATTTTTAAGATATGGGATTGGTATACTGATAAAAATATGAAGTGATATACTATATGCTAACATTCACTAGTCTAAAGAAACTGCAATTTACTAACACCTGGCAATAAGTGAAGGGGTTAAAAATCCATTACAAATGTTGAGGTAAACTAGGCTAAGTAATGTTAAAAATATAAATGTAAAATTACACTTGGCCTCATTCACTAATTTTTCACTAATATAGGTGAATTCTTTGAAGACAGTCTTAATTCTCCATGAACACAGTCACCTGACAATAACAGTAATAGATAATAAGTGTGCCCTTTATTTGTCATGCTGCTGACAAGGCAGTCTACACAATTAATAACTGTTCAATTTAGTGGCATATAGCTATTGAAAACCTTGCAACTTACCTCAAAGTAGTCACTAATTTTATGACCCCTTGGAGTGCCTTTGCCTACAAAACAAACAATTAAGAATTAGCAATCAGAAAGAAAGTATTTCCTCAAGTTCAAAGGTGAATTCGACATTCCTTTTGCTCACTGGTTCCAAGTAATAATAACAAAATCTGAACAAAATAGGTTGTAACTGGATAGTTCAAGACAACCACTTTAGTTAACGGTTCCAAGGCCAAAAACATCAGATGATTATGGCAAGGACAGGAACATGTAACTGCTGCTGAACTTAACCGGCATTCAAGGCTAGGCAGGCTGATGGCTTCCTTGAGCACTCCTACTTCACGTTACCTATAAAAGAGGGCAGCTTAAAAAGCCATCTGTGATGCTACCAGCTCCTCATTCCTTTTCAATGCCAGGTCTCTCAACCCTTGGGAATCACATACAGATGTCAATTTTAAATAGGCTATGTTTGTGGTCCACGTCACCGCTAGGTGGAGTATCACTCCCACATTTGCATTCAAAAATTTAAAGTGATCAAACTGCCTCAAAACATTCCCTTTGACCCACATACAATTATACTGCATACCTTCTCAGAATTATTGGCAAAGAGAAACTTCTTTCAATTGGATTTACATTAGAAAGGTAAATTAAAGCTGCTACCAGTCTAGGTGCCATCACAGTATGTATGTTATGTTACATAAATTAATCCAAAATTGTTTCAGAATATTGCAAAATATACAAAAGCTCCCATAATCCTGTCTCCAGTGGCTCAAAAAAGGTTACCTTATTATAATTGAAGCAAAATTAAAATCATTTGCCCTACAGTTTAATCATTATGTTATTAAAACCCTTTTGTCTATATTTTCTGTAAAGGCAATTTAATTGTCTCTTGTCCAGCATGCAAATACAAAACCTTGCAGGGCTCCAGATTCAGGTCTTGATCACTGTTGTTTTTGGCAGCAGTGAAAAGCTGCAAAATATATGAACAACTCCTACAGCTAAGGCTTCTGCTCCCTATTTTAGCCACGTGTGAAGTGCACTTATGTAGACCATCAATTTGTATGATGCCGGCCCTCACTTCTCATGCAGCAGCTGTCAACTCTCACCATCCAGGCCATTAACACCCCATGGAACTGCACCCTAACACAAGTCACTATCTTCATAAGGGAAAGAGTTCAATTTTCTCTTCTTAAATCTGATTTGCCTGAAAGGATGGCAGAAGTAGATTCAATAGTAACAGGTAAAGAGAATTGTGAAGCTGCTGAAAATTGAAAAAAAACTTAATAGGGCTGTAAAGAAACATCAAGGAACTGGGAATGATTGGATGGCGTCGCTAAAAGAGTCAGCACACCCACAGTAGGCTGTCTAACCACCTTCTGTGTTGTGTTAAATTCCACAATTCTCTGATCCACATTGAAATTAATAAGTCAATCCCCAGGGACACAGCTTACTTCTCACTTTTCTTACAGCATCTGCAGATCACATTAAGATAAATGAAGAACTCAACAATTATTTATAAAGTAATTTTTCCTCCATTTTGAATGCAGAAGCTGGTTAAACTTTTGGTAATCCTGTGAAGCACCTTAGGGCTTTCTTAATACGTTAAAGACACTACATAAATGCAGGTTTTTGCAGACGGGGCCAGTAAGAAATGGGTTTGCCTTTCCATGTCTATTTGGGAAACAAGATTTATCAGCAAACAGGGGCCAGACATTAAAATTATTTAATATAATAATGCAGAAGCAAAATTGCACCTTGTTCCATATGTAATCATTTCTTCAAAAAATTTTTATTTAAAAATAAAGACAAAACAATGTTCTAAATCTACTGTTCACCAACAGGGTAGGGCATTATAAAATTGAGCATAGTGCTGGAAATAAAAGGACTGCACTCAGGCTTACCTTGATTGGCCTCATTGTACGGATCCGCTTTTCGTTTCCTCCCTCGCTGCTCACTTTGTTTCTTTTCGGGTGTCTAAGAGAAAGAATAAAAGATTTGGCCTGAAGCTGAAACTTTCTTGCTCTGTAAAGTTTCAACATGCTTGAGCAAATTTTTAAAAAGCTGATCACACTTATCTTCCTCCATTCGGCAAACCCAAGGGAAAGGAAAAAGAACAAAGTGAAGGGAAGGGGTAATGGCACATGAATTATAACAGGGGCAACAGAATCTTTGCTTTCTTCCAATATATAGCGAAGTGGGTCCTCCCAATGAAAGGAGTGAGCCAACTGTGTTAGGGAGTCAACTGATCAAGAACAGAACCATCACTGGTGCCACACTTGGTCTTACAGCAACACCAGAATGCTCTCTCTATGTTATCTTACTCTGCTAAAAGACAACCAGACACAGATGATGGTCTGGTCCCCAGTCCCTAGATTAAACCAGACCTCTCAATTTCGGATATGTTCTCTTTCCAAAGAATGGTCCTGGAGACATGTTCCATCTGTAGATGCAGTGAGCACAGAAATTTCAAAACATTTCATACCACATTGAAGAAAGAGAAAGAAACCAGTGACCATGCAGATTGTGTTTGAAGCCCCTTCACTTGAGGAATAGGTTATTTCAACATTATGTTGGATTATAAAAAAAAGTACAAAGTTGAGTTGCATACTTGTTCTGCTTTCAAGAATTGTGCCAATTCAGAGTGTAGGATTCACAGAGAAAACACAACTCTAAAGGCCAAGTGCTATTTGCTTGTTCAATACACATGAATCAACAAAATCTTCAGACGTCACAACCCAAAAATTACTAACCTCAGATTCCTTATCACTCAGAGATCCCAAGCTACACAAGCTCTGATTGGACGATTCATTTACTGGCATCTACAACAAAAGAACAAAAGTAAGTTAAATTTTATTTAATCTATCTCTGCTACCTAGTTCAGTCATCAGGTGGAACAGAATTGGCCATTGTAAAATTCTTAGGCTCATGACAGATGTTGTCCCAAATGCCCTAGAGTGGAATAATTCACAGCAGGGAAATTAAATATTGATCCATTGCAGTGAAATTTTCACAATAATGGACTAATCTACACTGCAGATAGAAAGGTGAAAGAGCAGGCCTGCTTTTGATTCCTGTCACTTATCGCATTTTACCAAATCAATTTAAAACCTAACCGCTAGTATATGTTGGAAAACAGTTGGGAGTGCAGGCTGGATACTACACACAGCAGTCAATACACTTTTGATACAAATGGCCCAGGTTACAGCAGGAAATGCTGAATGTCAAGTTGCGCTTTGCGAAAAGAGTCCACAAATCCTCTTGCTGTCCACCATTAATGATCCCTGCTGGAAATACATCTTTTCAGACTCTGGGTGAGGAGAGATGAAGTGATATCCTTCGGGTAAAATTAACTTGCTGGTAGTCAATATATATAAGCATTCAAATTTCTCAACCATAAATAATTAAAATCATGAATGCGAGAGTGAGAAGATTAAAGTACATGAACTCTAATTCTACTTTTCTCTATCCTCAGTAGGTTTTTACGACATGACCTTTACATAAATCCTATGGGATGTTCAGATAGCTGATTGAGAGGTTATTGCAACATTAAGTCACATGTTACCCACAATGTCACTGAACCGTGGCTACAAGTTACGTTATTGCACATGTCCCAGTGGTACACTACACAACCACCCCCAGTCGCGCAAATCTCAACTGTATTCCAGTCTAGATATAGACAGGATATATTGCAGTGCAGTGGGTAGCAATTCTACCCGTGAACTAGAAGCTCTGGGCTCAAGCCACTCCAGGACTTGATGGTCATAAGATCCTAAGATGTAGCAGTAGAAGTCGGCCGTAAGATGCAAACCCGTCAAGTCTGCTCTGCCATTCAATGAGATCATGGCTGATCGGATAATCCTCAACTTCACTTTCCTGCCTTTTCCCCATAACTCTGGATTCTCTTACTGATTAAAAATCTGTTTGCATATATTCAAGGCTGAGGTAGACAATGACCTAGCTTCAATTGTCCTCTACAATAAATAATTCTACAGATTCACTACATGCTGAGAGAATAAATTCCTCCTCCTCTGTCTTAACGTGTGATCCTTTATTGTGGGATTATTCCTTCTTGTCTTAGACTCACTGACAAGGGGAAACAGTCTTTCCACATCCACTTACAAGTCCCCTAAAATCTCTTGCATGTTTCAATAAGGACACCTCTCATTCATCTAGATTCCAATGAGTACAGACTCAAATCTATTCAACCAACCAGTCACAAGGCAGTCCCTTCATACCTGGTATCAGTTGAGTGAACCTTTTCTGGTCTGTCTCCAATGCCAGTACATCTTTCCTCAGATAAGGAGCCCAAAACTGTTCACAGTATTCCAACTGTGGTTGACTAGTACCTTGTATAGGTTTAGCCAGACACTCACTATTTTTGCACTCCATTCCCTTTGGATTAAAGGGCAACATTCCATTTGACTTTCTTATCACCCGCTGAACTTGGATGTTGGCTTTTTGTAATTCATGGACGAACACTCCCAAATTCCTCTGTTCTGTAGCTTTCTGCAGTCTTTCTCCAGTTAAATAATATTCAGCTCTTCTATTTTTCCTGTTGAAGTGCAGAATTACAGGTTTTTCAGATCGTCCAGTCTGCTCTGCCATTCAATGATGTTATGGCGGATCTGATAGCCCTCAACTTCACTTTCCTACCGCTTCACCATAATCTTGGTTCCCTCGATTCACTACCCTCAGAGAAAAAATTCTTCCTCATCTCTGTTCTAACTGGGTGACCCCTTATTCTGACATTATGCACACTAGTCCTAGACACTCCCACTGGGGAGACAACCTTTCCACATGTACTTTGTCAAAGTTTTTAAAACATTCCCAATCCTTTGGCTCATCACCAAATTTTGTTATGTTGTATCAAATGAAATTTTAAAAATGCAAACAAGGAAGGCACATTCACAGTGTGGCCAAACAGGTCAAGCATCAATATGTAAATCCTTCCAATTTTATACCAATGGCAGGTAGCAAGAACAGGAGACTGTATCCTGGTCAGCCACATGGTGGAAACAGTTGGAGCCTGTAGCATCACTATTCATAACTCTGACTACAAAATGTACACCTAAGTGTGCATGGGCTGCTTGGCAGTTGGCTAAAATGCTAGTGAGAATCAGATTGGTACCAACAGCATGGGTTTTGATCCCTGTGCCAGCTGGGTTGGACTGGAGACCTTCCTCCTTGCCCTACCAGTGGAGGACATCAGGGCACTGTGGGTTAGACTGGCCTTTGGGCAGAGAACTCTTAAGGAAGAGAAGAACTGCCACAGGCAAAGAAATGACCATATTCGAGGAGCTAGCAGGAATGGAAAACGCAGGAGTTTACGACATCCCCTACCTGAAAAACCTTTCTAAAAACAGATTTTCAGGTTTTATTATAGGCACAGACACAAGACAAAAACTTAGGATTTCCAAACAATGCACTTGGAAATTTGCCAAATGCCCCTGGTAGCATGCATACTTTGCATAAATATTACACAAAGTACACATATTGGATGCATCAATAGGAAGAAATTAAAATATAATCAACTCTGAATTACAGCATTAACTTTACAACAATTTTCAATAAAGTCACCAAAACTAAAAATGCATAAAATTAAGATAATTTTTCAGCTATGATCTTTTAATTTTTAAAAGAGCTTCTAGCAGTATATTCAAAATGAAACCATCTAAAATGAAACTATTTGGAAACAATAAAGGTCACAACCATAAAACCTGTTCTTTGAATCAAAAGCATTATTTAAATCATGGGTAGCTATCATACTTAAGGGATTTATTTACATGAAAGTGATATTTGTTAAAATAATCTGAAATTATAAAGAGCAGCATTAGACTTTTATACCCAAAATAAAATCTTATATTTTTCTTGACTTAACTTTTATTTTAAAGATTAGTTTCATGTTAATGCAAGCTAACAATGGGCTCAATGGTGGCTCAGTGGCTAGCACTGCTGCCTCAAAGTGGCAGGGGCACAGGTTCAACTCCAGCCTCGAACAAATGTCTGTATGGAGTTTGCAGGTTCTCCCGGTGTTTCCTCCAGGTACTCGGTTTCTTCCCACAGTTCAAAGATGTTTAGGCTAGGTGGACTAACCATGGGAAATGCAGGGTTACAAGGATAAGGTGTGGGGCGGGGGGTGGAATGCACTTCAGAGGGTTGATGTGGACTCAATGGGCTAAATGGCCTGATTCAAAACTGTAGGGATACTACGATTTAACAAGAGAAGGTTGTGAACCACAAATGGGGCTAGTTAAACAGCCACAAATGCCAGCCCTGGGATAAAGTGAGAGGGAGGGCTTGAGAAGATGTGTACAGCAGACATACCACCAAACAAAATTGGACACCTCCTAAATCTGGGTGCATTGGGAGCGCACTGAGCAGCGCAAAAACTGAATGTAATAAGAGCCATTGGGCATAATTCACTGTTATGCTCCATCACTTTTCTGTAGCATTATTGTTACGTCCTGTAGCTGGAAACGTGCCACAGTTGTTCTTGTGTTAGAATCTAATGAATTGTGGTTCAAAGCCTCCGCAGTTAGGTTTGGTCTATTGCTGTTTTGTAATTTGTAGCTTTTCATTTCGAAAGTCAATTATTCCATTTCACATCCATCCACACACGCACATTTTTAAACTGGGCCATCTTTATGCACTCCTCCCTTAGACTCTGCACTGAGAAACTTCTCATCTTTAGTGGCTGCAACCATCATCTAAATTCACCACGCTCTTTCCCCTGACTTTATTGTACTTCTGTCATCTCTTAGTTTCTTCTACTATATAAACTCCCTAACCCATACTCATAGCCATTTCCACGACTATACCATCTCAAACGGTTTCACTACTCCTTTAGAATCAATCACTCTTCACCTACTTCCTGCCCAAACTCACTTCATTGTGTCTGGCCCTGGAAAAACTCCGTCCTAAATCATTTACTACATTTCCAAAATCCCATCTCTAACCTTTGGCCCTCTATATCTGTCAATGCTGTAACTCCTGACCTGCTCAATCCTAACACCACCTCCACCTTTGAGCCCGAGTTGTCTGGGTGTCACATTGGCACAGTGGTTAGCATTGCTGACTCACAGAGCCAGGGACCAGGGTTCAATTCCACCCACAGACTACTGCGTGTGAAGTCTGCGCATTCTCCCAATGTTCGTGTGGGTTTCCTCCCACAGTCCAAAGATGAGCAGGTTAGGTGGATTGGTTATGCTAAATTGCCTATAGTGTCCAGGCTTGGTGGATTAGCAATGGGAAATGCAGGGTTATAGGGATACGGTGGATCTGGGTGGGATGCTCTTCAGAGGAGTAGTAATGGACTTGACGGTGGCCTGCCTCCACACTGTAGGGAATCCATGATTACTCTCTCGCTTACTTTGCTTATTTCCCTGCTACAGTCTCATTACAGCTCCCTTAAGCTCCAGTGATCCACCACTAGCTGCTCACCATGAGATTTAGATGCACTTCCTGCTTTTGAAAACTGTTCACTATTCCAAAATTCTCCTGAAGTGCCAAGCTATGCCCTAACGTCTCTTCTCTAAAAGACACCTTCTTAAACCCCTCTCCCTATTTGTGGGATATGGGCTGTGAATTATTGCCCGTCCATGGGTAAGCTGCTCTTGAACTGCTGTAGTATATTTGTTGTAGATAGACACACAATGCCCTTCAGGAGGGAATTCCAGGATTTTGACCCAGTGATACTGAAGGAACAGTGATATATTTCAAAGTCAGGATGGTGAGTAGCTTAAAGGGGAATTTGCAGGTGGTGGTGTTCCAACGTATCTGCTGGTTTTGTCCTTCTAGATGGAAATGGCTGTAGGTTTGG